GCTTGATGTAGTCCAGGTGTAAAGCTTGATGTAGTCCTGGTGTAAGGTTTGATGTAGTTCAGGTGTAAGGCTTGATGTAGTCCAGGTGTAAGGCTTGATGTAGTCTAGGTGTAAGGCTTGATGTAGTCTAGGTGTAAGGCTTGATGTAGTCCAGGTGTAAGGTTTGATGTAGTTCAGGTGTAAGACGATGTAGTCCAGGTGTAAGGCTTGATGTAGTCTAGGTGTAAGGTTTGATGTAGTTCAGGTGTAAGGCTTGATGTAGTCCAGGTGTAAGACGATGTAGTCCAGGTGTAAGGCTTGATGTAGTCTAGGTGTAAGGTTTGATGTAGTTCAGGTGTAAGGCTTGATGTAGTTCAGGTGTAAGACGATGTAGTCCAGGTGTAAGGCTTGATGTAGTCTAGGTGTAAGGCTTGATCTAGTCCAGGTGTAAGGCTTGATGTAGTCCAGGTGTAAGGCTTGATGTAGTCCAGGTGTAAAGTTTGATGTAGTTCAGGTGTAAGGCTTGATGTAGTCCAGGTGTAAGACGATGTAGTCCAGGTGTACGGCTTGATGTAGTCCAGGGCCCATACCTTCAAAAAGAGTAAAGAGATCGTAAGTTCATCAGCCAATCATCGACGGCCTATCAAGCAAAATCCACCAATCATAGATAGGAAAATAGAGCGTAAGTACTTACGTTGACTTAGCGAGTTTTGAAAGTATGGCCCCGGGTGTCCACGCAGGGTTGACTTAAAAGCCACAGGATAACCGCAAGGATGACCGTTGGGCCTGAGAGCTTCTGCAGGCACTTACGTTTGTGCGTTCCATCTGATTACGGGTTGAGCGCGGGGTAAACCGAAGGATGAGCACCTGTGAGGTCTGGATATACCGAAAATACAATATTTTACTTGCAGGTTGCAGCATCCAATTCAATAACTTTAACCAAGTGCGTCTTATTTTTATGGTCCTAACTTATTCAGCGTAGTGTCGGTCAATGAAAGTATCAGTTTTCAGAGAGCCGAAATGATGATGCCAACGATAATGCGAAAAAATTCAGGGTATTTCACCATTCCCATTGATAACAAGGTGTGGCAGAACCGGACAGTTGCTATCGCGCCCCAATCATTCGGCTGTGCGCGCTAACGCCGAGCAGTGTGATATCCCTGTTTCTGACAGTGACTTTAGAGTGTTAGCTTTCACCTCCGGTACTTCAGATTTGCGTATTTTAGAATCACTGTAGATTTTAAACTTAGGCCCAGTTTAAATTCAGCTGTTAGCTCCTATCCCCTTGAAATTGTGAATATATAGGTTTTGTGCCCTATTACTTGTAAATTTAGGCTTATAATTGTGTTCTGTATTTTCAGTTGTACTAATTTATGGCTTTCTATGTGAAATCTAGATTCTACGAACTGACGATGGAGCTGGACTCCGAAACTTTTTCTATAAAGATATGAATTTTTGTGGACTATTCTTTGCTTTTAAATTTTCAGTTAACAAGGTTATGCGGGAAAAACAAATTATTAAAATCATCATCGCATTCTTTACGGCGCCAAATTTTGGGACCCTTCTTATATTGCGCATAGGATAGGAGAATACAATAAAATTTGCTGATTCCTATAATTACATATAACGCGTCATCCGTTCCAATAATATAACATTATAATTCAAATTTGAAAATGTTTGGTTTTATGAGCAATTTACATCAATATTTCCTTGACATTACTCAGACTAAAAGGTGTTTCCAACACCAAATATCTTGAAGTTAACAAGAAACATAATTCTTAACCTTCCAAGCATGCGGAACCCATTTTCCCGGACCGTGTGTTTGTTACCATGGAAACGAGTGTAAACAGACTGGAGTTTTCTCGGGACTCGGGGTCACGGTAGGAAGCGGTGCCGTGCACCACCAGTCATGTGCACTGGTGAGTGGTGACCAGTGCACATGTTTAAAATTAGTCAAAATACGTCTGCGTATTTCACTATCTCTAGGGCCTAGGCCACTTTATTATCATATGGCGATAAATTAATATATTCTCTCTCTTAATCTCGGGGCTCAGAGTCAGACTAACTGCCATGGTCAGGAAGATGTGCCAGGTGCGCGGGAATTTATTTTGTCATTTTAACAACCTGCGCGGTGCACCGTACTACGTTGGTATAAAAATGTGCCATGCGCCGTACTTTAGAAAGCTAAAATAGTTCTACTATTTTAGTCGACAATATACGCGAGTATATTGACTACGCGAGTCGAACTGACATTAATAAAATGTTAGACATGTCCGGGTTACTTCTGACTCTTCTGGTTGTCACTTCTCCGCCTTGTCGGATACGGAACGTACGGTAATCGTAAACTGCGGCTGTTATACATACGAAATGTAAAGAGACGGTGTTCAGTGTTGCCATATGACTTTGGAGAAAATTTCTTCTAAAATAAAGATGGTCAGGATTGCGCAAACACGTGCGCGAAGATAATTAATTTTCATTACATTGCGCCAACTCTGCACAGCAATAGCTTAAAAAAGTGAAAATGCGCGGGAAAATTCACCAAAAACATACATCATCCTGAGTGTGGACTAACTGTACTGTCTGTACAGTGTGCATCAGTGATCACTGATCAGTACATGCCTACATCTACATGGTCTGATGATGATGAACAGTATCATTATGGTTATTTGGTTAGCAATAATATCTCAGTTACCTGGCAGGCTGGCACCTGGTATCTACTGTGCACTGTGTGCAGAGACTGTGAGACAGCAGAGTTTAGCAATTGCATTGCTAAGGCCCGGTTTTTAGTAAATATTATATTAATGATACAATATTTCCAGTATTATTAATAATAGTGATTTGTAACCATGTTTTAATAAAACTTGCCTAGTGAACTTATGAACATTATTGAAAATGAAGCAGAAGCCACTTCTGAAAACTAATTGAGACAAAAATGCCTATGCAATGATGCTTATGGTTGATTTCATCTGTTATCATCATCCTTGTCAAAAATATTTCAGATGAAATAAGAAAAGCGGTACATTTTTGCTTACTCAAAAATTGTCTGTTGAACAATTATTTTACTTAATTATTAGAAATTTTTAGAAAGTTCTGCCAATTGCCAGAACTTATCCATTTATCATTAACTTATTATTATTCATTTTGCAGTTGTGTACCATAAGTCCATTTTCTAAGTCATTAAAAGCAATTTAGCATAACAAATTAGTTAAGTTTTAGCACACAAACTACAAATTTTTATTTAAATCTGACATCACCACCAGTCCACCACTACATGCCAATCTGGATTATCAGGCAGAATTTTCTGAAATATGCAAATAGAAAAGATTCCTTATGTGTAAATTTCAAAAGTTGTAGTCAAGAATGTTCTCTTGACCATAAGCTTGGCAATTTTTATCTCATTCATGAGTAGCTTATGTTCCATCTTCTAGTTTGGACTGCCAGATGTTCAACTAAAATGTTTTGGGTATAGACCTTATAGTCACCTTTCATGATATTTGACAGAAGGCAGTACTGGATTGCAGAATTTCAATTGCAACTGACATCTGCATTAATCCTTACCCTTTTGGGTAACAGATTTGGCATCTTCAAATTCATTTTGCCTTACTTTGCTCTACAGACCACCTTTCCTTGTTATTTATTTATAACCCTTTTTAACCAAATTTCAGCTTTACCTCAAATTAGCTGATCATCTAATTAGCTTCCTTAATGGCAAGGGCTATCTAAAAGTAGGTGATTACAAAATAAACAACATTCCAAGCAATACATTAACTAGGTTATTAAATTACAAACTGGAAGATGTGTGCAGCAGTTCACCCAGCACCCAATGATGACTTGTATGCAGGATTTGATGATGTGCATCCTGCTTTGGACATAAAGCATCTTCAGCAAGACCCCAACTTTCAAGAAGCTGTGCGCACCAGCTATGGCCGCAGACCTCCAGTATGTAACTGGCTTATCCTTTTGACTTCATTTGCAATGTAAATACATAAATTGATGAAGTAACAGAATTTAACTTGATTTTTCTGTGCTAAATGTTCCTGTAATTGCTATATGTAATGTTGCTTTTTATTTGATATTCCTGCCTTTTTGTGTTACTAGTAATAAGTTGGATAATTTTATTCACGTATGTATCAGATAATAATTTTACCATGTTATTATTACCTACTTTGTGAATTTAAAGTGTAGCATGTGTGTAGTTGATTTCAGCCATGTTAAATAAATTGGAAAATATTTGTTATATTTCATTTTTACTAAATGGAAATTTAATTTTAATCTCCTTTTGGATTGTTTTATGGGCTTTGTTATTGAATAGGGAATTTGTTTGTTACTAGGACATGGGTGACTATATCTACGTTTATCTTAATTCATGCAGAAGACTTAGATGTGGGGGCATGCCCTCAATTGCAAATTCTGCTTCAAAGCAAGACAATTTTAAATCAATCGTAAGAGTTTCACATTCTATATACTGGTACTTATATAATTCTTTCTTGTTCAATATGGACAAAATTTAGTTGACAGAACCTGTATTGTTATTATTTAAATATAATGATTACCTACTAATTTCTAAATTTTCCTCTTTAATCTAAAATTTGTTTGTAATCTGTAATTAATGAAAGACTGACTGATGGATTCTGAATCTATTATTACAATGTTTCTCTTGCAGACACAGAGTAGGGCTCCCACTGGGCTAGGGCGCCTCAGTACTGCCCTGCCTGGAGGCACAGGACAAAAAACTGTGAGCATAAATTTGCCCTGACATTGTATGGTCTTAATGCAACTGATCTATAATACTCTCTCTCTCTCTCTGTTGATCGGTGATCTCTGTTATATTGAACATTTTTGTTTTTGCCATCAGATGTCCTACTTATATATAATTGACTTTTATATAGTAAAATGCAATGTACTTTTGTAGTGGAAATACACTCCAATTCTTCAACTTTTAATGAGCAGTATATCAAATTGGTGATGGTATGTTTACAAATACTAAAATTTAATACGACATGTTCTAGGGCATTGGGTTGGGCACAGCAGGAGGCAGTGCAGGTGATGGTCTGCGTCGGCCGATGACGAGTGTGATGGGCACTGGCTACTCCTCCCAGCAGACACTCTTTGACCCCATGAACCAGACCAGCAAGGGGCCTGCACCACCTCTGCTCTCCAAGGCTGATGAGAGGTGCACTGCCTGTGTTGCTTGGTTCTTTCATCACTTGGTATTGTGATACATTAACCATCATCAATTCTGTTAACCATCATCATTCTATTAACCATTAACCATCATCAATCCTGGTCACGGCACCAATTATGTTGTGGCGCATACGCTACCGCAATTTTCTGCGCTGCTACCACACCACAAAGCCAATGTAATCGATAGTTTTGGTAGTACGCGAAGGATAATGAATACACTTATTTTTTTCGAGGAGCATAAACTTGAGAACTTTCACACGTGACAGCCTGTCTCTCACTAACTCGTACCCAGAACCCTACTTCCAACTGTTACAACGAGAACCATCTGTTCAGTTCACTCTGAACTAATTATTTAATACAGCTATGGTAAATATATATACAGAATGAAACGCAAAGTAAGTAATGAAAACAGAAAAGCGATTCTATCATGTTGTGGCGGTCACAACAACATCATCATTCTATTAACCATTAACTATCTTCAATTTTATTTGTAGCTGAAGGCCTGCTTACAGAAGTTGCTTTACCAAACAGTTGGTTAAATGTATTTTATATCTGCATCTTCTATAGACTTTTGTGTTTTTTGTATTTTTGTGTTTTCATTTAATCATAGTTTGTTTGCACTCCCAAGTACGTACATAGGTATTACTTTTGGAATGATTTTCAAGTGGCACTTTTTTTCAGTTAGAAAAACTAAATTCTGAAATCAATTGAAAAGGTAGTTGTATTTCAATTGTGAGTAATTTTTATGGTTATTAATATGTTGCTAGGCAACTACAATTGAATATTTTCTCTCAAACGTCAAAGTAAGCTTTTGCTTGTCATTCTTATGTGTTTAAACACAAACTGGATTTTCTTATAAGCATCCAGTTTTTCTTGATTAAATACAATGGAAGTGGCTAGCATTAAAATGATTTAATTTGCAACATTAAAATAAATTGATGGGTATCTCTCCTATAGTACATTACTCTTGAGTAAAAATTTGCATTCCAATTCTTTTCTACTGCAGCTTCCCAAAATTTACTGAGTTTTCACTTTCAGTCCTACAACTTCGAATCATGGATGTTATTCAAAAGCTGGATTCTATGCTCACTTTTAAGCAGGCAAGAGAGCTGACTAATTTTAGCCCAGCATACTATTATAACAGATGTATATATATCTTTAATTTATAAATTTTGTACATTTTCGTCCATTAGTTTGTCAGTGCATCTTCAATTATATCATATTTTTGCAGTCCTGAAGCACAACTGAAGGCGTCAGAGCAGCGCATGCTGGCGCTGGTGCTATGTTATAGACATATATAAATATATTTATTTTGAAATTTTTAACGTATTAGGCCATAAATTCTTTCAAGAAACTTCAATTATAGCATATTTTCGCAGTCATGAAGCACAACTGAAAGCATCAGAGAAGCGTATCACGGCGCTTGTGCCATGTTATAAATATATTTAATTTGAAATTTGTATTTATTATTCTATAAATTCTTTCACGAAATTTCAATTATATCATATTTTCACAGTCCTGAAGCACAACTGAAGGTGTCGTAGAAGCGCATGATGGCGCTGGTGTCAAGATATAAACATATCTATTATATAGGTATATTTAACAAGACATTTTTACATTTTAGTCCATAAATTCTTCTATGAAACTTCAATTATATCATAATTTTGCAGTCCTGAAGCACAACTGAAGGCGTCGGAGAAGCGCATCACGGCGCTGGTGGAGGAGAGTTGCCTGGCGATGGGTCGGGGCGACCGTCGGGCGGCCCTGGAGCGCGCCAAGGAGGCGAGCAGCAAGGAGCGCTCGCTCATCCGACAGCGCGAGCAGGCCGGCCTTAATGACGCTCATAACCTGGACCTCACCTTCTCAGTGAGTGATGACCTCTTCTCAGTGAGTGATGACCTCTTCTCAGTGAGTGATGACCTCGTCTCAGTGAGTGATGACCTCTTCTCAGTGAGTGATGACCTCTTCTCAGTGAGTGCTGACCTCAGTGAGTGATGACCTCACCTTCTCAGTGAGTGATGACCTCTTCACAGTGAGTGATGACCTCACCTTCTCAGTGAACGTTGAGCAGTTTAATAATTTTATACTCGGTAATTGTATCCACTTGTTGATAAAATAAAAAACAAATTCATATAATTCCGTTTCTGGTCACTATACTAAATTGCTTCAATTATTGTACGGAGATCTAGAAGATTTTGCAGTCAAATTTAAGAGAAAACCTTCTACAAATAGCAATATTCCCTCAAATTCAACGTAATTCTCCATTCGGCATGGGATGATGGAAAATTAGTTTTATCGTCTCTTGATTTGATTCATATTTGTTGAGACAAAAAGTATGACATTTACTTGGTATGTAAAATTTCATTCAGGGAAGTAATCCTGCCATTTTTTATGTCGAAGTTTTTATCGCAAATTCCCGTTCATAAATTCGGAGAAAGGCAGGACGGAATGATCTCATTTTTACGGCAGTAGGGCAATTGCGTATTTTGACTTATTTAGCATTCCTTTGTGATGTATATTTAACTGGAATACCTACTTAGGATTCTGCCCATTGCACTCCAGTTATCACTAATGAGGTCGCCTCTTGGCTTACAAGTTTTATTCCACATTTTAGATTGTTCCTATTTTCTGAATGACGATTTTTACTTCGCGCAGTGTTTTAATATTCAAGTTGTTAGTAACTGGATCTCTCACGTTCAGCTTTCATTTTCATGAGAAGAAATTCTATTGTAACCTGCTTCTGTTTTTTTATAGCTATTTTAAAATGCCCTTTATTTTACAGGTGCTCTTTAATCTGGCCAACCAGTACGCGGCAAATGAGATGTACACGGAGGCTTTGAACACGTATCAGGTGCATGTCGTAAGCCCGTATAAAACACGTATCAGGTGCGTGTCGTAAGCCCGTATAAAACACGTATCAGGTGCGTGTCTTAAGCCCGTACAAAACACGTATCAGGTGCGTGTCGTAAGACCGTACAAAACACGTATCAGGTGCGTGTCGTAAGACCGTACAAAACACGTATCAGGTGCGTGTCGTAAGACCGTATAAAACACGTATCAGGTGCGTGTCGTAAGCCCGTACAAAACACGTATCAGGTGCGCGTTAAGCCCGCACTAAACCCAGTGTGGGCTTAACCCCGCTAAATAATAACGCAATGTTCGTTGCTACTTAGAATAGAATAAAAGTATCGGCATTGACATTATTTACCGACATTATTTATTTATATTACTATTATTATTTATTATTACTAATTATTATTATTTATATTATTATTTTTTATTTATACCGACATTATTTACCGACATGAAACTTCAAACTCATTCCTCGTCATTTTTAATCCTCCAGATATACCACAGTAGGAAAGAAGGCCTTCTAACTTTAGAGAGAATAGGAATCCTGCCTTAAAATACATACGTACTGTCAGTTCAAGACAAGCATTAAATGCCAGGAATTTAAAAGTAAAGAAAATAGCCAAAAAGTTCACCATTTCTTATAAGCGAAAACGTTTCGGAGTCCAGCTCCATCGTCAGTTCAAAACCTAGAACACAGGTACAAACAATTAGTAGCCTAAAAATCATATTCATCTAAATACGGTGAAGCATTAAATGTGAAATTAACACCTATTTCGTGGCGACAGATCATCACCAAGGATCGCATGTTCAACAACTCAGGCCGCCTGCGCGTCAACATGGGCAACATTTACTTCAAGACCGGCAACTACGCTAAGGCTATCAAGTACTACAGGATGGCCTACGACCAAGTCAACAACACCAATAAAAACCTCAAGTCTGTTCCGAAGCAATGCTAGAACTTGTATACATAAGTCAATGATACATATAAAAACCTCAAGTCTGTTCGGAAGCAGTGCTAGAACTTGTATACATAAGTTAATGATACATATAAAAACCTCAAGTCTATTCTGAAGCAGTGCTAGAACTTATGTACATAAGTCAATGAAACCAATGAAAACCCCAAGTAGTTTGAAGCAGTTCTAGTACAGTTGTAGTTGTTCTTGTAGTTCTAGTACAGTTCTCTGAAGCAGTTCTAGTAGTACTCGCTGCCCCGTCCGAACCATTTTTAGCGCATTTTCTCATCTATGGAAAAAATTCACTATTGTACTCGCCACGTCCGTCCGTCTGTCTGTCCGTCCGTCTGTCCGTCCGTCTGTCCGTCCGTCTGTCCGTCCGTCCGTAACTTCACGTTTTCGTCGACGAGAAAATGCACTCTTTGTCACTCACTGCAGTGAGTACTGAGTTATATTTTTTCATTGTTCCTTACCAGGATCAGGATCATGCACAACATCGGGCTGGTCTTCACTGTCACTCACTGCAGTGAGTACTGAGTTATATTTTTCCATTGTTCCTCACCAGGATCAGGATCATGCACAACATCGGGCTGGTCTTCATCAAGATGGGTCAGTACAGCGAGTACTGAGTTATATTTGTTCATTCTTCCTCACCAGGATCAGGATCATGCACAACATCGGGCTGGTCTTCATCAAGATGGGCCAGTACAGCGAGGCGTGCACGAGCTTCGAGTACATCATGCAGGAGCAGCCGAACTTCCAGACGGGCCTGGACCTGGTGACGGCGCACTACGCCCTGCGCGACAAGGAGAAGATGAAGAAGAGCTACCTCAGGCTCCTCGACTGCGTCCTCGACGTCGACGACGATGAGAAATATACCGCCACTGCTGTACGTTGTTGTTGTTGTTGTTGTTGTTGTTGTTCGTTGCTCTACGTCAAACATTCATGTGTTCCTGTTGAAATAGGCGTATTATATGACAACGCCACTGCTGTAAGTTGTTGTTGTTGTTGTTCGTTGCTGTACGTCATGCATCCATTTGTTCCTGTTGAGATAAACGTATTATATGACGACGCCACTGCTGTACGTTGTTGTTGTTCGTTGCTGTACGTCATACATCCATGTATTCCTGTGAGATAGACGTATTATATTATGGCATACATCCATGTGTTCCTGTTGAGGAAATGTGTTATATGACGAGATTTACTAATGAACTTACACATTATAATTACTTGTTCCGCGGTTGTATGTCAGTGGATGAAGGTACATTTCACGTCTAGTGAAATGAAACTTGGGTGTTATGGTTTATCTTTGGGGAAATGAAATATTTGACTAGCCTTTAAATGAAAATTAAATTATTTTGAGCATTTTGAAATTGGCTCATGTAATATGTAAATTTTACGCATCGGAGATGTGTTCAAATTTTGTACCTGCCTAGAACTAAGCTGGAAATTTTCTTTTTGTCATTGTGTAATTAAACGCTATTTCTGTGGCAAGATGGTGAATATTTTCGAACAAACAGTTGAAAGATGTATAGTTTTTAGGCTCAATACCAACGTAGATTTCTCGCTATAGTCTTAAAAATCCTCTAATATGCGAAGCAGGTACTAGAGTATGGCAAGTCGTGTCGAACTTATTAAATATTTCATTATTTTTAAAATTCAACTACGGGAAGCTGACAAATTCTTCTATCTGCTTCAATCAAGGCTGAAAGTCTAAATTACATTGTATTACATTATTTTATATCATTGGTGTCCAAACTTTTGCAGGCTGGCGCCCCCTATGTCTCCCTAGTGAGTTCCTATCCCTCCCCTCAGACACATAATGTTCACATAGCGCCCCCACAGACACACAAAAAACCCAGATTGTAAAAATTTTTAAAAGTTTACACTAGAAACCCAGAAGAGGTTCAAAAAATCCAGATCTAGGTGGAAAAACCCATCGCTGGAGCCGTGTACGAGCACGTGTTGTGTACAAATGGTCAAACAAACATTCTAACTTCGGACTGCCGCCCCCCTACCCGCCCAAATCTTTCTTCCTCGCCCAGATCTTTCCACCACCCACTTTAGGAACCACTGCTTTATATAATACAATTGTAAGTTAGATTTTCTTTATATTCTTGCCAGGACGACGCGCACGGTAACCTCATCCTGGAGGTGATCAGGAACGACTCGCTGCGTAAGGTGGAGCGCCAGCTGCGGCAGGAAGCTGAGCGCGCCATCCTTACCGCAGCCAAACTCATCTCACCCGTCATAGAGGAGGACTACAGCGCCGGCTACAACTGGTGGGTGGGGCTACAGTTCCGGCTACAACTGGTGGGTGGGGCTACAGTGCCGGCTACAACTGGTGGGTGGGGCTACAGTGCCGGCTACAACTGGTGGGTGTTGCTACAACTGGTGGGTGGGGCTACAGCGCCGGCTACAACAGGTGGGTGGGGCTGTGTTGCTACAGCGCCGGCTACAACTGGTGGGTGTTGCTACAGCACCGGCTACAACTGGTGAGTGTTGCTACAGCACCGGCTACAACTGGTGGGTGTTGCAACAGCGATGGCTACAACTGGTGGGTGTTGCTACAGTGCCGGCTACAACTGGTGGGTGTTGCTACAGCGCCGGCTACAACTGGTGGGTGGGGCTACAGCGCCGGCTACAACTGGTGAGTGTTGCTACAGCGCCGGCTACAACTGGTGGGTGGGGCTACAGCGCCGGCTACAACTGGTGAGTGGGCTACAGCGCCGGCTACAACTGGTGGGTGGGGCTACAGTGCCGGCAACAACTGGTGGGTGTTGCTACAGTGCCGGCTACAACTGGTGGGTGTTGCTACAGCGCCGGCTACATCTGAAACGTGTTCAGCCTCTTCTTCTTCTGCGTGCTTGACATTTTACAGACGCTTTAATCAATTTATTCAAATTACGCACGTGATTTTAGCGAATTAAGTCGATTCCTAAATTTAAACTGAACACCACGGAAAACACACATATATCTCCTTATATTTTAGTCCTGGATTTTGAATTTACAATATTTTCTGGGATAATCTCGTTATATTCTTTCCCAGGCTTATGTTTTCAATATTATTAGCCTGGAAATAAGCCTGGTTTTTTCGAAAAATAAAATAACTGATGCAAAATCACGTCCAATTAAGGACGTGATTTTAGCGAATCAAGTCGATTCATAAATTTAAACTAAACACCACGGAAAGCTCACATTTATCCCCAGATGTTTCAATCTTGGATTTTTAATTTACAATATTTTATTAATATAAAATCTCGCTAGATTCTTTCCCAGGCTTATGTTTTCAATATTCTTAATACCAATGTCTTAATCAATAATATTCTCTTAATAATAATATTATTATATAATATCAATATCTTCATTATCTTGATCTTAATATGTTCTTAATAATAAAATACCTGATGCGGCAGGTGCGTGAATGCGATCAAGAACTCAGCTTACCCTGAGCTGGCGAGCGACCTCGAGATCAACAAGGCCGTGATGTTCTTGCGCCAGAAGAACTTCAGGGAGGCCGTCGATACCCTGAAGATGTTCGAGAAGAAGGAGACTAAAGTCGCCAGCACCGCCGCCACCAACCTATCGTTCCTCTACATCCTCGTGAGCACAGAGAACTTGAAATAATTATCTGAATAATTTCAGACCTGGGGCCGTATTATCAAAACTTCGTAAGTACGCAAAATCGACTTACGAGTGGCGTTGCTATGACAACGTAATACTAGCTTTGGTATTATAAAAACATTTGCGCGGGAAAAAAATTTAGGCTTTTAGCTAAGACTTGCGTACGAAAGTTTTGATAATGCCAAAATTAGAGTGTATTTACGTACCACAGAACTTTTTTGTCGTAAGTACAAAAAGTTACGAAGTTTTGATAATCCGGCCCCTGATCTCAAGCTCTGATGAAGACACTTTCAGTAATATAACGACTGAATCATCTGAAGATTTCAAACCTGATCCCATGCAGAGAACTTGGGTCTAAAAGTATCTGATTAATTTTAGACCTGGGCCCATACTTTCAAAAAAAGTTAAGATATCGTAAGTTCATCAGCCAATCATTGACGGCCTTTCAAGCAAAATACACCAATCATAGACAAGAAAATAGAGCTTAAGTACTTACGTTCACTTGGCGAGTTTTGAAAGTAAGGAGTCTGATCTCAAGCTCTGATCAAGACACTATTAGTAACATGACGACTAAATCTTCAGAATATAATGCTCAGTGTTCTGAATGTTCAATTTCCTTACTTAGACGATGTTATATTCTAAATATTCAGGCTTGGTTGTCGTAAAAAACTTTATTGCTATCTGCATATTGTGTACGGTTCTCGGTCTCTTGCGGAATGCGTGTTTTATTAGTTTAAAATAACCGCATCTTTTGTAGTCAATCAAAAATTATTTACGAATGCCTTTTGTATTTGTAATACTTCTGATTATTGCTCAATCATAGTCTACTTTTTGCTCGATCATTGACTTTTTACTAGGTACTTGAAATTGCCTGTATTGCGTGTCTTTATTGCTTATTCATATTGTTTACCTGCTCGATCATAGTCTACTTTTTGCTCGATCATTAACTTTTCACTACTTGATACTGCCCATATTGCGTGTGTTTATTGCTTATTTATATTATATCCCTGCTCGATCATAGTCCACTTTTTGCTCGATCATCAACTTTTCACTACTTAATACTGCCTATATTGCGTGTGTTTATTGCTTATTATATTATTCCCTGCTCGATCATAGTCTTTTTTTGCTCCATCATCAACTTTTCACTACTTGATACTGCCCTATATTGCATGTCTTTATTGCTTATTTATATTGTTTCCCTGCTCAATCATAGTCTTTTTTTGTTCGATCATCAACTTTTCCCTACTTTAACTTACCTGTATTGCATGTCTTTATTGCTTATTCATATTGTTTCCCTGCTCGATCATAGTCTTTTTTTGCTCGATCATCAACTTTTCACTACTTGATACTGCCCATATTGCATGTCTTTATTGCTTATTCATATTGTTTCCTTGCATTGCAGCAAAAGGACCTGAGTCAGGCAGAGTTGTACGCGTCTCAGGCCCGGGACAGCAACGGCTACAACGAAGCTGCTCTCGTGAACCTCGGCAACGTCTGCTACCTGCGCGGCGACTACGAGAAGGCGCGCGAGCTCTACCTCGCCGCCCTTGACATCGACGCCGCTGCTGTGGAGGCCCTCTACAACTTAGGTGAGGCCCTCTACTGCCTCTATGAGGCTCTATACAACCTCGGGGAGGCCCTCTACAACCTCGAAAGGCCCTCTACTGCCTCGTAAAGGCCCTCTACAACCTCAGGGAGGCGCTCTACAACACAGTTGAGGCCGTGTACAACCTCGTAAAGGCGCTCTACAACTTAGGTGAGGCCCTCTACTGCCTCGATGAGGCCATCCACTGCCTCAATGAGGCCCTTTGCTGCATCGATGAGGCCCTTTACTGCCTCGGTGAGGCCCTTTACTGCCTTGATGAGGCCCTTTACTGCCTCGATGAGGCCCTATACAACCTAGGGGAGGCCCTCTACTGTCTCGATGAGGCCCTATACAACCTAGGGGAGGCCCTTTACTGCCTTGATGAGGCCCTATACAACCTAGGGGAGGCCTTCTACTGCCTCGATGAGGCCATCCTATGCCTCGAGGAGGCCCTTTACTGCCTCGATGAGGCCCTTTACTGTCTCGATGAGGCCCTATACTGCCTCGATGAGGCCCTATACTGCCTCGGGGAGGCGCTCTACAACACAGTTGAGGCCGTGTACAACTTCGTAAAGGCGCTCTACAACTTAGGTGAGGCCTTCTACTGCCTCGATGAGGCCCTATTCAGCCTCCGGGAGGCGCTGTACATTTAGATGAGGCCCTACATTTAGAAGGCCTCGTGGGGTACATAAAAATGTAGATACACATGTACATTTACATACAGAGTACATACAACTGTCTATACTAAATGTACATACAGATGTTCATTGAGAAGGCCTTTTGGAGGCCTTTTACAACCACTCATAGATACTAAAAAAATATAACTCAGTACTCACTGCAGTGAGTGACAGAGTACTAATCGGTTATTTATTATTTGAATAATTGATCGCCCACCTCTACCAGATGATGGGGGACAGCGAGCAGGCCTCTGAGTGGTCAGTCCTGCATCACTGTCACTAGAAATGATTTAATCGGTTCTTTATTAATTGGTTAATTGATCGCCCACCTCTACCAGATGATGGGGGACAGCGAGCAGGCCTCGGAGTGGTCAGTCCTGCATCTCTGTCACTAGAAATAAACTAATTGATTATTTATTAATTAATATAGGTTATTTATTAACTGAATAATTGAAACTAGGAAATTATATATTGATACTCCAGTAGCAACAAATGTTGTAGTATGTGAGTATTATCATTTGCTCAGAGTGTCCAAAAATTTCGTGGTAATTCAGCGAAAATATTATATTTGCACCTGAGTAGTAGGAAATGTGTTAGAGATTCATTGAAAATATGATATTTACACCTTATTAGCAAGAAATATTGTAGTTATGCATTTAAACTAAGATATTGCTTCCAGAATATTGAAGGATAACCGTAAATAAGCTTCTAGTAAAATTTTCCTTTTAAATTTATTTAGGACAGTGAGATATAACTAGTTATCATATTGGACTGAATAAATTCTTACGAAAGTTATCGTGAAAGGCAAAGATAATAACCAAGCAACTAATAATTTCGCTACTGGGTGTAGAAATGATTAATTTGTGTATTAAATTTATGTCAAAACATGGAATTCTAATAATCTGTACATATTTATTGCAGGAAACTCATTTCTTATTATTCACATTTTTTTGTCATTTTCAAACCTTTCTCGTCATTGTTTAAATGTTTCTTGTCATTGTTCAAATGCTTTTGTCATTGTTCAAATGTTTCTTGTCATTGTTCAAATGCTTTTGTCATTGTTCAAATATTTTTGTCATTTTTCAATGTTCTGTTATTGTTATTGATTATTGTTGTTGCGCTAGGTACCTGCAAGTGCTGTCGCTGGTGCCCACAGACTCCCACATCCTCGAGCGCCTCGGCCAAATATTTGATGGAGCAGGCGACAAGCAACAGGCTTACCAGTACTACTTTGACGTGAGCGTTACTACTCTTGTACTACTTTGACCTTGTACTACTTTGACGTGAGCGCTGCTACTCTTGTACTACTTTCACCTTGTACTACTTTGACGTGAGCGTTGCTACTCTTGTACTACTTTGACTTACCAGTACTACTTTGACGTGAGCGCTGCTACTCTTGTACTACTTTGACGTGAGCGCTGCTACTCTTGTACTACTTTGACGTGAGCGTTGCTACTCTTATACTACTTTGACGTGAGCGCTGCTACTCTTATTCCCTTTTTTTACTGAAGAATTTCAAAAGATTCGCTTCATAACAAGTTATTGTTGGAGTACCCAAATGAATATCTCGTAATATAATAACAAATAACATATATTAGTAATCTATTTCAATGTACTGAGGTAATATTGAAATCTAATTGTTTTCGGATGATGTATTAAATTGTGTCTAAGTTCTGGCTCATTTATTCAAACCTTATCTTATTTATTACGCTACAGCACCGCAAAGCACCGTAGCTCGAGACGTTGCTCCGTAGGAGCTCATGTTTTTGGACTGCAGGAGCCGCAAATTTGTGTTATCAGTTATAATTAATTTAGTACCCCACTCGAATCACCATGTGATGACCAGGGACCGTACTCTCAAATCTAACTTGAGTACATTAAGTGACTTACGAGCGCTTAGTGACTGATTTTCCGTCTGTGATTGATTGGTTTTGCTTTTTTATCAGTGATTGGCTGATGAACTCTTAACTTTTTTGAAACTATGATCCCTGTGCAGTCGTTCCGTTACTTCCCGAGCAACCTGGAGCACACTTAGTGACTGATTTCCCGTCTGTGATTAGTAGGTTTTGCTTGAAAATATTTCAGTGATTGGCTGATAAACTCCTAACTTTTTAGCGCATTTTCTCATTTATGGAAAAAATACACTATTGTGCTCGCCATGTCCGTCTGTCCGTCCGTCCGTGACCTCAAGTTTTCGTCGACGAGAAAATGCGCTCTCTGTCACTCACTGCAGTGAGTACTGAGTTATATTTTTTGAAAGTATAACTCCTGTGCAGTCGTTCCGCTACTTCCCGAGCAACCTGGAGCACACTTAGTGACTGATTTTCCGTCTGTATTCAGTCGGTTTTGCTTGAAAATATTTCAGTGTTTGGCTTACGAACTCCTAACTTTTTTTTAAAGTATGAACTTCTAACATTTTTTGAAAGTATAACTCCTGGGCAGTCGTTCCGCTACTTCCCGAGCAACCTAGACGTGATCGACTGGCTGGGGTCGTACTTCATCGAGCTGCAGTACCCAGAAAAAGCCATCGAGTATTTCGAGCGCGCCGCCCTCATGCAGCCAGACGACCCCAAGTGGCAGCTCATGGTGGCAGCCTGCCACCGACGTGCCGGCGCCTATCATAAGGCCTTCAGCACATACAAGCTCGTACACATGGACTTCCCTGAGAACATCGAGTGTGAGTACAAGCTCGTACACATGGACTTCCCTGAGAACATCGAGTGTGAGTACACATGGACTTCCCTGAGAACATCGAGTGTGAGTACACATGGTCTTCCCTGAGAACATCGAGTGTGAGTACACATGGACTTCCCTGAGAACATCGAGTGTGAGTACACATGGACTTTCCTGAGAACATCGAGTGTGAGTACACATGGACTTCCCTGAGAACATCGAGTGTGAGTACACATGGATTTCCCTGAGAACATCGAGTGTGAGTACACATGGACTTCCCTGAGAACATCGAGTGTGAGTACACATGGACTTCCCTGAGAACATCGAGTGTGAGTACAGGCTCGTACACATGGACTTTCCTGAGAACATTGAGTGTGAGTACAACAATGCATTCAGTGTCGTTTGGAAACTTATCTTGCCAAATTCGTGTGTTGTGTGCTTTTCGCTTTAATCATAAATCTGCCCGACACACGTTTTTTTGGGGCGAACCATAATTTATTTTCACTTTTTAGTCCACAAGAAAAACGTGGTTTTTTAAAAAGTTAAGAATTTTATTCGTTTAGACTTGCCTGTCATTAACACGTTGAGTGCGATAAGGTCCACCAGGGTTGCCAAATGGCCCAAAAAACTGCCAAGTCCGCGTATAAAAAAGGTTACGAAAAGTCAATAATTCGATATTTGACTGTGAATTTGGATTTTCCGGGCCTAAAATTAAATTTTCATTTTTATCATACTTTTGAATTGAAATAAACTAAATCGCTGAATTCTTCCGGTAAAAAGACCATCTGGCATGATAGGGCATTTATTATTATATTATTAATAAATTATATTATGTACTATAATATATATTATATTATTTAGAAGATTTGGTTGCCTATTTTCAGTAACTATTGCATAGATTTTAGTGCCCAGTGTTCATGTTGGCTATAAGGAACAAAATCATTTATATCTTATCACAACGCGTGACAGGTGTTACTGCCGTGGTTATGCTATAGATTATTACATTATTGAAAGCCTATAGATTATTGATAGATAATTGATTAGAGATTATCACACAGATGATTGATAGATAATTGATTGAATATTATCACACAGATTATTGATAGATAATTGATTGGATATTATCACACAGATTATTGATAGATAAATGATTGGAGATTATCACACAGATTTTTGATAGATAAATGATTGGATATTATCACACAGATTATTGATAGATAAATGATTGGATATTATCACACAGATTATTGATAGATAAATGATTGGATATTATCACACAGATTTTTGATAAATAAATGATTTGAAATTATCACACAGATTATTGATAGATAAATGATTAGAGATTATCACTCAGATTATTGATAGATAAATGATTGGAGATTGTCACACAGATTATTGATAGATAAATGATTAGAGATTATCACACAGATTATTGATAGATGAATGATTGGATATTATCACACAGATTTTTGATAGATAAATGATTGGATATTATTACACAGATTATTGATAGATAATTAATTGGATATTATTACACAGATTATTGATATAAAGTTGCATGGTGCGCAGGTCTGAAGATGCTGGTGCGTCTGAGCAGCGACCTGGGGCTGGCAGAGAGCGGCCAGTACGCCATGGAGCTGAAGAAGGCGGAGCAACTCAGCCTCCAGAGGGAGACCCGCGCCGCTAGCTCTGGCCCAGGGTCACGGCGGTGCGTGGGTCAACATCATATGGATCCATACCTCTGCCCCAAACCTCATATGGACCCATACCTCTGCCCCAAACCTCATATGGACCCATACCTCTGCCCCAAACCTCATATGGACCCATACCTCTGCCCCAAACTTCATATGGACCCATACCTCTGTCCCAAACCTCATGATTCATACGTCTGTCCCATACCTCCTGAGAGTTAATTCAACACACACTGGCCCGTGCCCTTGACAGTAAATTCAATTTACTGGCGATTCTATACCTATATTAATTCTTTCAGAATCTATTCGAATTCAAAATAAATTAATTTGGAATTGCAATTTAAGGACATTAAAGTTGTCAGTGTATTTTATGATTTTACCTTAAAAAGTCTCAATTCGCGCACTCGCCTGTTTAACCAATGTCAAGCAAACTTAGTCGGCAAATATTATAATTAGTCGGTATCTATTTTAATTATTGTTTTCAATCTTGTTTATGTCTTGCTTAATGCACTATGCTAAGTCTTGATTCGTTCATGTGATGATGTGATCATCGCTCCGGAAGTTATTTATTTTCTTACTCAATTGAACAAGCCACGGCACGCATGCCATCCCCTGCCTTAAATATTTTTATTATTACACATGGCTATACTAATAGAATGAAGACATTTTCACCTATCCCATATCATGGAAAATTTCTTAATCACCCCTCTTTTTAATATAGTAAGTACTCCTATAATCATTACGTTTATTACCGCCCTAAGTGATGGGTGGAATACGCTCCTAATTAATAGGGCAATTAAATTAATTAAATACACATTCTGTCCGCAGGTCCTCATCGCGCGCCTCCCGCAGCGGTTCCGCCATGTCAGGAATAGACGGCGCTAAGAGCCCCATGGACAGGTACGTTCCTTCCCTTCAGACGCTGTCGTTTTCACAAATCAGGCATAAATTTTGGTTTAGAAATTTACTTGAATTGAAATTTTAACGCCCAGCCGACAGAAAATTATGATTTAGATGCCGACACCACCGAGAAAATAAATTTCGATTCTGAAGTAGGATTTCTTACTATTCTCTCGCATGCCCTTCGGGCAATACCTCCTCCCCCCTCGTTACAGTACATCCGCTCCCCCCTCCTCGGTACAGTACCTCCTCCCCCCTCGGTACAGTACATCCCCCCTCGGTACAGTACACCCTCCACCTCGGTACAGTACATCCTCCCCCCTCGGTACAGTACACCTCCCCCCTCAGTACAGTACCTCCTCCACACTCGAAACAGTACATCCACCCCCCTCGGTACAGTACACCCCCCCCGTGTTGCAGGGCGGCGAGCTCGCGCAGCTACGGTGGGGTGCGCAGCTTCCCAGGCTCCGCCGTGAGCGGCCGCGCCACGCGCCTGTCGCTCGAGTCCGACGCTCCCGGCCATCTCCCCGCCACCAAGGAGATCGGTAAGTCACCGGCCCGCCACCAAGGAGATCGGTAAGTCACCGGCCCGCCACCAAGGAGATCGGTAAGTCACCGGCCCGCCACCAAGGAGATCGGTAAGTGACCGGCCCGCCACCAAGGAGATCGGTTAGCCGTTTTCGACGTTTCGGGGCAACATGCACAATTTTTCGAGTTATTTTATGCAATACGGTATTAGTATTAAGTCTTGTGCATTCAGTGCGCGACTTGTACGTTCTTGTGGCAACATAGGTTTCCTCGTGATATAGTAGGTACCATGCAGCAGTACGCCACATGAAATCAGTACGCGCGTGCACGCGACCGTTATTTGTTTGGGGAGAAAATCAGTCTGAATGCGATTATTTTGGTTTTTTTTTTTTGTATTGATTTTATGAACGTGATTCGTGAACTCGTGATTGTAAGATCATTTGAAATCTTCTCGTTGAAGTCTGATGCCGGGGTTCATTATTCCTTGTAGTCCAACTTGAGTTTCTTTGCAGACGTGAGCTACCAAGACCCCGTGGGACCCATTCCTGAGAGGCCCAGGACGAGCATGAGACGTGACAAGCCCGACGACGACTTCGGGGACGACGAATTGGGTGACGACCTCCTGCCCTAAAATGGGGACTTCTCAAACCACTGAAATAATGACTGTAATGGCGGACATTGTGTTGTGGATTCAACGGTTAGCAGGATAGGGTCTCTATTCAACATTGCGTTGTGGATTCAACGGTTGGCAGGATAGGGTCTTTATTCAACATTGCGTTGTGGATTCAACGGTTGGCAGGATAGGGTCTTTATACAACATTGCGTTGTGGATTCAACGGTTGGCAGGATAGGGTCTGTAGTCACCAATAGCTTGTCCTAAATGGCCTCTTTGCAATTACCTTTTAAAATTCATTGACATGTTGATGAATGAACATCGAAATTGGGCAATTGCTGGTGCAGCGTCTCAAATTTCTGGTACTGCAGGGTCTCAAATTTCAGTTCATCAAGCATCTACGATGAAAAATTTAATCGCTATGGGCCTATACTTTCAAAAAAAGATAAGAGATCGCAATTTCATCAGCTAATCATTGACGGCCTTTCAAGCAAATCCACCAATCATAGACAAGAAAATAGAGTTTTGAAAGTATGGCCCCTGGAGTTCAGCTTTGAGTCACCTCGTGTGTCTAAACATTTGGTCACGCACTATTTCTTTCACTTTGACTATTTACGAAAACTGGTATTCCAGGCAATTGTTTGACAATAAGGAAATGATTTTATGAATAATCAGTGTTTTTTGCTAATCTGATTATATTCTGATGATTATACGTAAGCAATCAAACGCACACTCGCTAAAGATACACTCACGCTTTATTTATTATAATATTACTGAATTTTTATGATAATGTATGTCACTCAACGAAGTCTAGTCGGTTTCAAGTTCATAAATTGGTATCCATCTTTCGGATGCTAGAATTTCTAGTCTGTCATCTTACTATTAATTGAAAACTTCTACTGATGGATTCTGGTGCACGTGTTCCTAAATGTTATAGTCAATATTTATTATTGTTTGTTTTCATATTTACTACCATTCCGTCCGAGTCCTATTGTGATGCTAGGTTAAGAAAATAACTATTATGGCACGCACTTCATTTCATTTCCCCTAAGTCTGCCCAATTGTCTCGCACCTCCCTCATGATTTTTCTCAATTATCGGCTAAAATGCAGCAATTTCTTTCTCGCGATTCAAGTTTTACAATTAAATTAGAAAAACATTCTAGCATTTCCATAGTCCATACCAATTGAAAGTATTGAGCGTCCGCTTGTCTCAACATACGTGTTTGGCATCCACATTTTGCCGACCGAAATAAATTCCATTTCATTTAAAATATCTAATATTACTCGCGTTACTGAATGGAAAAATAGTAAAAATATAGAACTAGCCTCAGAGTAACCTGTCCCTTTAATATTAACGAACACAATTCACAGTTCATATAATTGGTCTTGATTATATCTTCTCTGTACATAAACTTAACAACGATGAATGTCTTAGAGTTATACAGCCTCGTCAGTACACACAAATATAGAAGTCAACAGATTCCAATACATAAGTAGCTAATGATAAGCAGCGAAGCAAAGACACGCGTTTGTGCCCCCAAACCCAAACGAGTTGTTGAGAGCAACCCTCCTCTTGCCGCGGTCTAGCCATGGCTGCCCCACCTTCGCTATTATCTTGACTTTGTTGGGAACATCGATAGGATTTTCCAAATTAGTTGTTGGAGGAAGAAACCCGGCGTGCACCGACAGTACAGTAAACACAGACTCCACAGCACCAGCAGCCCCTAGCAGGTGTCCGACTGCACCTTTAGTAGAAGACACGTAGACTTCGTTGTCACCGAACACGCGTCCGATAGCGTTCAGTTCAATCTCGTCCCCGAGAGGAGTAGACGTGGCGTGCGCATTGACGTAGCCAACATCTGCAGGAGTCAGAGACGCTTCTTTCAAGCACTTCAACATTGCCCGTTCACCGCCGTCTCCATCCTCTCTAGGAGATGTGATGTGGTGAGCATCGCCGCTCATGCCGAACCCTAGAACTTCGGCGTAGATTTTAGCATTGCGCGCTAACGCGTGTTGCAGTTCTTCGAGCACGAGAATGCCACAACCCTCGCCCATTACAAAACCATCTCTGTCGCGGTCGAAAGGTCGCGACGCTACACTGGGATTATCATTATATTTCACAGAAAGAGCTCGTAACCTGCTGAAGCCGGCCATACCTAGAGCGTTCACCCTGGCTTCTGCTCCTCCACACACCATGACGTCAGCATCGTCGTATTTGATCATCCTGAAACTATCACCAATGGAATGCGTGCCTGTTGCACAAGCCGTCGAAACGCTGTGATTGGGGCCCTGGAAACCATACTTGATGCTGATCTGACCAGCGGCCATGTTCGTTAATATTCTTGGTATGAAGAACGGATTGACTTTTGTATATTTCTCCTGAAGAGCTTTACCTGTAGCTAAAACGTCCTCCAAGTCAACCATCCCCATGCCAATAGCCACGCCCGTTGCCTGTCGCTCTTTTAGGTCGTCAGGTGTCCATGCGGCGTCTGCGACGGCCTCCCTTGCAGTGATGAGCGCTACGGCCGAGGCAGGCGACAGAGTGCGCAGCTCGGACGAGCTGAACTCGCGCTTCAGGTCCAGCTCGTTCTCGCCAGTACCAAAGGGTATTCGCGCTGCAACTCGCGACGGTATCTGCCGGAACAATTATGAGGAACTTGGTGCCGTTACGACAGTAGTCCGCAAAAATGTTGTTAAAGTCAGATTAACGTGCAAATTTTTTAGCATTGGTTGAGATCAGTAGTCAATGTACCGGTATGCAAAGAATTTCAACTAAGAAGGCTAAGAAAGCAAACACAGAGCAGCACTTAGGTTAAATTCGTCAAAAGGATGAGAATGCACACACACACACCACTATTATAGAATAGACTGGAAAAATAGTATGGGATCTTCTGACAACATACAGGCAAAAATACACTTCGTATGGCCAAATGTGTGCTCAGCTCTCAGTTAACCTCATTCAAGATCCAAATATGAATGACATAAGCGACATAGAATAAATATTTCAATATCAGAACTACCTATAGTTGCATTCATATGTGACAATATTGGTTAATTACATGATCACAAAGCCATAGTTTAACTACATAAAAGGAAATACAATGAAAATTTTTCTAACACAAACAATAACTTCATTTTACAATATCTCTACCTTGAATGCACTGCATATTCGCGGAAAATTTAGATAAATTATGCTCACTCAATGATCTTGATGATGATGTTTCTGTAGCCTAGATCACAAATACAATTTCATATATCATATAATTCAAGTCCATAACAAATACGTAATTATGCAACATACACTACATTCATAACCTGGTGAAAGTGATGCATCTTACTGATGCATTGACCAGAAATATTAATTAATAAAAAATGTCATATGGTTGCTCACCTGCTTAGCCCAGTCGTCGGCCACATATGCCGTGGCTGTGTCGCCGGCTGTGAGTCGTGCCCAGACATGTGGGGCTCCAAGCCCCAGCGGCGTAACAAGCCCCACGCCAGTGACCACAACCCGACGAGCCGACATGGCGTATTGACAGATTGACTTTGGATTGAGTTTTAGCTTGAATGGATTGAATTTTGACTCTCAACTTAAGATTGATTTATGGGTTAGAATTTTGTTCTCACAAGTAAGAGTTACAAGTCAGTAAGTCTGATGAGTTGTGGAGGTAGTCAAATTTTTGACAGCAATTTAGGAGTAGGTATAGAACATACTCAAAGCAAATTACCCCTATTCCAATGATAATATAACAATTTTGATGATGTCAATTTAAGTATTCTTAATTACGTTTTTGTTGAGAGACTTTCAATGCTCTAAATTTATAAAATCTAAGCCTAAGTATTATTTTTAATTCCAGAAAATTACTTGAATATTATAGTGGAATAAATGTACAGACTGCTTTGCAGAACAGGGAGTGATAAATATTATAACAAACATCAATAATTATTGTATATGATATTTATTTTCATGCAAAATTTAGGTAAATGTTTGGTCGCCTAAGCCTCAAATTAAGTAAGAATTTAACAGCATGGCATATGGCAAAACAATTTGCATTATTCTCAAGGCAAATATTCTGACAAATAACTCAACCTTCAATTAAAAATCTTTAAACTTCAAATCTTCACTTGTATTCTCAAAGCTTTTGAAATGATGATAGAACTGATCTCTGACATCAATAAAATGTAGAAAATTTTCTAATCATTTTTAGCTCTATGGCATTAATATTTAAAACCCAACCTTCTACATACACAAAATTTTTGCAATATACTGGTAGTTGTGTAGGTTCTGATCTGATTTGAGGCACCAAATTTATCTGCATCATCAAAATACTTAAATTTAATTGATTACATACAATAATGAAAAACAAAATATATATTATAAGTGGTAATGACTAAATGACTAATGACATGAGTATACCTGGTCAACTGGTCAAGAATTAAAGATTAAATTTAGTAGGCATTACTTGGCAAAATATAAATTTCCAAGCCATGGCCCATGACTCAAGATTTTCCAATGTTTTTATGCCTGGTAATTTCTGCTAGTAGTTAGATAAATTATCTTTCAACTTTCATCAATAATCTTGTCTCAATGCCATCTGTTATACTGGATACTGGACAGATTTCCTGAAATTGGCTGTAAAAATATCTTCACAGTTGATTTTCAAAAATCACATGTAAAAATGTACCATTTGTAATTGTTTTTGAATTGAAAGAGGAAAAATTAGCTTTCCCAGCCATAGGTTAGATTTCTAGAAGTCTGATTTTTTATTTTTTTGGAGATTCAGATTGTTTGTGGGCTACTGCTGCTGCGCTGCATAAATGATAAAGGCCATGAATCACATGACCGCCGCCGGTTTTGCTATTATCGGCTTCTACCTGGGCAAGTGTTTTGTTGTTATGTTGGCTTGAAGGTGAAGGTGACCACTTGTTACACCTGGACCCAGCAGAAAGTTTCAGCGTTATGTGTCATTGTGTCAATGACGGTTGAATGACCCTTTAAGGTTCTATTAGGATTTAGGATTTAGGTGGGCTTCCAGTTTGATCACAGGTTCACAGCCACAGGTAAAGCCATGATGGTGCTCTGTAGTCCAGGGGTGGAATACATCTACTTTTAATGGAAATTTCGCGGCCCGAGATCTCCCATTTATATGTAAGTTTGAAATTTCGCGGCTCGGAAGTCAGGTAAAATATATTGATTTAGAAATGTCGCGGCTCCGAAATGGGTCACGTGACGTGTGATTTAAGGGCAAGCCAGCGGTTGGCAGTTGTCGGCAGTAAAACGATAAAGAATAGTGCACCAGCCAATGTATCACTGTATCATTTGAGCTCATGTTGTTGCCACGTGCAGTTGTGCTGTGATAACTCCTAATCCCGTTTCCACAACAACTAGGCTTGGCGCCGGTCTGCGATGCATGGTGGCTTGATACCTGTAAGTATTCTTATCATCATATACATATGGACTTATCAATAGTTCGTTTCGAACAGAACGTAGACTAGTAGTAGAATTATATTGTGAATGGTCTTTAACATGATTCAATTATAAAGTTCGGAAAACTATCCCGATTACGCCTTACCTTACCAGCTGTATTCTCTGTCCACGAAACTTGGAAGAAATCATAGGTATATGACCAGCGTCTGGTGCTTCTTAGTTCTAATATAGTATTGTTTCAATTTTAAGCCTCTAATATATGTACTTCTAAATTATTTCTAGAAAATTTCATTACTCGTTTTTGATTCGATGAAAAACTATTGAATAGTTTATGCCGCGTACAAATTTATTGACCAAAAACGTTTACCATCCTGAAATGAGGTCGGACTGCAAGTTTGGTAGTTCAAACTTCGATGAAACCAAAGCCACTAACTTGACAGTGCTGACTGTTAGTGTAGTCTGTGCTCATGCACTAAAGGGAAGTCAGATAATTTGTTTTCATTAAATAGGTGATTGTTGCTCTTATTATTGCATGTTGAATCTTTCTGCAGGAGTTGCCTCCTCCAACTCCAAGAAGTATTCGAACCGTTACTAACTTACTAGAGTGGTAGAGATGGTGCACACCCATCATGACCCTGGACCCATGGGCCCATGGCTCGAGTAGAACTGTAGCAGCGATCAGCACCTGACGCTCCAGGCGGTACTGCATGCATGCCAGGAGAAAATGCTCCATGAAAATGCCAAATCGATAAAAGTACGACCGAACACCAACAAGTCCCAATCGAAGACGACTAAGCACTGCACCACACTACCACAGCAGCACGACGAGAGCAACTGGCAACCCACGGAACAGGGGACAAATCACCCCACACGGAAGCAATATTATGTCCCTTCCCCTCAACAGCCAAAGCAGCGATCCAGTCCAGTTCCCAAGACCTGAGAAAGCAAGAACGAAGCAAAGCAAGTGTGTCAGGACAACGACAAGAGAGACGAGAACGAGTGTTTTGAAAAATCAGCTGAGGCTTGTTTACAAAAAAACATTAGTGCCAGCCCCGATGTCTTGCATGGGAACATACAGCTCGTCGAAAATTACGTAATGAATTTTGGACCACATAATATTTTTAAAACATATCTACAGTTTCAATATAATGTTAATTATATATGAACAGGTTTTTAAAGTTTATTCTCACATTTCTTCAATTTTGTAAGGGAATCTCAACATACAATTGAATATTGCGTCCGTGACCGGTTGTCCGATAGTTCAGCGTGCCGATTTGAACGCCTTTCAAAAAAATTATTACCAAAGGTAAATTGCAGTATCAGCATTGACACAAAATATGTCAAGGTCCTATCAGTTAATACTAGCGTAATCTTACCGAAAATTACGTGTTACACGTTCTCATACTCGATTGAAAACTTCACAAACGTTCACAATGTCTATTTGAACATCAACCTAATTCAATTATGATTGATTTGCATAAGGAGTCAATGGATCTTGTGATCGAACTTTGGAACTATTTTTTCACTAACATTCATTAGCAGATTTTTTTCTTTATACCACATGGAAATGATACGCGCATGATAATTGCACAGTACCTAAATCTGCACACTGACTTTATACCACAATTGAGTTGCAACGACGAGTTGTTTATGTTTTTTCCTCCGTACACATATTATGAGACCGCAGTTGCTAATAGAGTTTTTTCTCGCACTCACATCACCTCATAGCGTGCCAAGCAATGGCCAGTCTGTTCAAGATGAGCACTGAGAACCTGACTTCTCAAGTTCTCTGAACCTGAACTGAACTAAAGCACGCTGGTGTCTCCACCTCCTGCACCAGAGCTTCGATACTTGATACGTCCTACCCGCATCTTAAATGAGGCCTCAGCAACAACCACAGTCTTCCTTCATCTAAATAAACTGTATGCCAACGACTCATTCTCATGATTATTCTAAATAAATGATTATATCAATTAAATATTCTTTTTTAATATATATGATGATTTTAAGTATGCATGCGCATGCATACATAGCATGACATGTCAGTGCAATTGTCTGCTTATTTCAAAATTTATTGATGATCATTCATTTATCTCGCGGAGGCCGCATGGTTAAGACCAACAAGATTAGAGCAGCTTGTTGGGGGTTAGAAACTCGCCACTGGTAGTGAAATTTCTGGTCGAAATTTACCATCGTTTTTAAACGCTTCAAACCTCGAGTTTGAACTAATTTCATCACGTTGTAATGAAATTAGTTATTATATTGGAGCTAGACCAGCTAATACCTCGCATAGAAAACTTTATTATGAGAGAAAATCTTTTCCTTAGTGAAAATTAAAATTAACAAATGAGGCGTGAAAATTGTCATCAATAACTTTGACAATGAGTTTTATATTTTATAGTTTATATTAACATAAATACAACAATATTCAACGGGCATCAGAGTAAGCATTATTATGAACATTTCATGGGCATTATTATGAGCACATTCCATAAAAGGAATGCGCAGAAACAAAAAAAAACTAAGTATTAAAATTGCCATTGATACGCCAGCTTACATCAGCCGTGCTGCTCGAACCTCATGTTATTATATTACAAATTAATTCTATGTTCCCTCCCAATAATTAATCGTGTGTCCCCTTGTATTAATTGATCCTTTGTTCCTCACAATAATTAAACATATGTCTCCTTGTATTAATAAATCCTATGTTCACTCATGATAATTAATCATGTGTCCCCTTGTATGAATTAGTCCTATCCGCCCTCCCAATAATTAATAATGTATGCTCTTGTATGAATTAAACCTATGTTCCCTCACAATAATTAATCATGTGTCCACTTGTAATAAATAATCCCATGTTCCCTCACATTAATTAATAATGTGTCCCCTTGTATTATTTATTCTTGCATTTCCTCACATTAGCCCACTCGTCGTATTCGCGTCAAAAGGAAATGTGCCGACGAACCCCTATATTAATATTAAGGATACTATCAGGAATAAAACAGTTTACACACCAATTTATTGTTTCACAAACACATTTTTTATTTAAATAAACAAGTAAGAAAAAGTGTAAGCTCGGCATTTTGTGTACACTGAGATACTGAATGTAGTACTGCAAAGAATTTGATGATTGCAGCTTCACAAAATTTGATTGCAGCCCACTCGTCGTATTTGCTTCTAAAGGAAATGTGCAGACAAAACCCTATATTAAGGGATCCTAACAGGAAAAAAACTGTTTACACACCAATTTATTGTTTCACAAACACATTTTTTAACATAAACAAGTAAGAAGCGGTGTAAGCTCAGTATTTTGTGTACACTGAGATACTGAATTTATTACTGTGGAGAATCTGATGGTTGCAGCGTCACAAAATTTCGGTTTTAATTACGTTCACCGGTAATTTTTTTAGAATATTTTAATTTGCAGTAAATTTTCTTAGTGTTAACAACAAATTCAAAATTTAGAGTAAGGTAATGTCAATAATGTAATCAATATATGAAATATTGTCACTAAGCGCAACGCAAAAAATTATCCAAACCATCACATCACAAAAACGATAAGAAAACTGGATACCAGATCCAGACTCTTCCCCTGCTCGGTGATCTGGAGTGTACGATTGCTAGTTCTTTTGCAATTTTACTGGGTATATAGTTTTACAAAGTTATTTGCGAAAAAATGAGGATGGTAGTAATCTACGTTAAAGCTGCAAAAGATATCACATTTTATCTCTCTTAATTAGTAGATTAGAATATAAGTGTCGGCGTTGAAGAAATAGGCCCATGGCCTGTTGCCGATTCTTGAACTTTCAAGCCTTGACACTTCAAGGAAAAATAGGTAAAGGCTATCGCAAGTTTAGTTATAACCAATGCAATTACTGAGCAATAAATTATACTTTTTCCGACTATGAGTTGAAAATATGGTTTGTGTAGAAAAAATATTTATTGGGTGATGGTACCGAATTAACTGGCACAAAAGGCCGGTGCTGCTCGATGCTATATAAGAATAAGTGACGGAACGCCATGAAGACAGCGATAAAGGCCTATATTATTTGTTGTTGAAGGGTTTCCATCGTGAATATTTGCTGCTTGCAAGATAATTTGTGTCTAATTTAATGTCGTTATCTTCTACAAAGGGACTCTCGATTTCCTGATAAATAGTTTTTGTGTCGGCAGATGAATTTTAATTTGTAGTCTATTATAATTTAGAGAAGGGGAATCGGATGACATGGATATTTTTTTAATTATAAGGAATGACAATCCGGTGACTGAGAAGTACTGATTAAACGTCCACTATATTGTAAAGCAATGGAAAAGTACATCACTTCTCTGAATTCATTACTTCTATAAAGTTGATTCTACCTCTTTTCAGGATCACATTCAAGTCACCGAATTTGATTATCTTGAGAGGTCATTGTGTATCGTAGAACACTGAATTAAATCTTGGTCACACACTACACCATGGAAACGATGGAAAGAATGCTATATTAATAAACATCATCAAACACTTATGAAAACGAGAAAAGGCTCCATCCATACTCACGCTTGGTTAAAACGGTTCAATTTCTACTCATCCTCCTCCGTTTAAACGGCTCCATCCCTACTCATCCTCCTCCGTTACAATATCCTCCTCCGTTTAAACGGCTCCGTCCCTACTCATCCTCCTCCGTTTAAACGGCTCCGTCCCTACTCATCCTCCTCCGTTACAATGGCTTCATCCCTACTCATCCTCCGTTTTTTCATCGTCCGATTTCTTCCGGCCCTCCTTCTTGGCGTCCTTGGCAGCCTGTTCGGCAGCCTCCTGCCTCTCCTCCTCCTTGAGCTCCTCCTCCCACTGCCGCCGCCGCTCCTCCTTCTGCCGCTCCTCCTCCTTCTTCTTCTGCTGGTTGTGGCGCATGTTCAGGTGAAACATTGTGATGGCTCGACACCTGAAACATGTCATTGGAGTAACAAAAAGAACCAGTGTTGAAAAACCAGTGCAATTTAAAGATCAAAAGGATATCTGAAACCAATGCAAGTAAAAGCCATTAAAGGATCAAAAGGATACTCAAAGCAAATGCAATTGCATGCCATTGAAGGAGCAAAGCGACTCCTGAAAACAATGCAAGTACAGGCCATTGAAGGATCAAAGGACTCCTGAAACCAATGAAAGTACATGTCATTGAGGGATCAAAAGGATTTTTAATACCAATGTAAGTACGAGTACATGGCATTGAGGGGTCAAAACGACTCCTAAAACCAATGCAAGTACATGCCATTGTCCATTGAGGGATCGAAATGACTTCGAGAACCTTCGCAAGTACAGGCCATTGAAGGATAAAAAGGATACCTGAAACCAATGCAAGTACATGCCATTGAGGGATCAAAGAACTCCTGAAACCATTGCAATGCAAATACATGCCATTGAGGGATCAAAGGACTCCTGAAACCAATGCAAGTACATGTCATTGAGGGATCAAAGGACTCCTGAAACCAATGCAAGTACATGCCATTGAGGGATCAAAGGACTCCTGAAACCAATGCAAGTACATGCCATTGGAGGATAAAAAGGATACCTGAAGCAAATGCAAGGGCGTGTCATGTAGGGATCAAAAGGACCAATGAAACCAATGCAAGTACATGATATTGAGGTATCAAAGGACTCCTGAAACCAATGCAAGAACATGCCATTGAAGGATCAAAGGACTCCTGCAACCAATGCAAGTACATGCCATTGATCGAGGGATCAAATGTCCTCGCCAAGACCACTGCATTCGCCAAATGAATGGCTCGGACTGCCTTAATTACAAGTGAGTTTTTCAAGGTTAATTTCTTTGGAACCAGCTATAAAGCTGAACAAATATGCCATCATTATCATTTATAGTAAAAATTATAATAACGAAACCAAATGAAGTGTGAGTCTTCCGTTTTCATTTGAAATTTGTTCATGAACGCCAATAAATAGAGGTGAACAGCAGCTGTATGCAATTAAAATAATTTGACGCTACCTTGTCACGGGACGTCGTCTGACTTTAATGCTTCCTAAGGTTAACTGATTTCTACTCCATCGTTACGCCGTTGATTTTTTTCAGTGCTGGAATGTTTCATGCTGCAGTCTAAGCAATTATTCTTTTGCACAGTTCTAGGAAATTCGTCTAGTGATCGCCATGCTCACGATTATCGAAAAACTATCAATCATGCTGTTGACTGGCGCTAATTAATACAAAAATTCTCGATTGGCAGCTAAATTAAAGATTAATTTCTAGTATTCGAGAGCAAAGCAGATATAAACTACAATGGAATTTCTACAGATGCCAGAGCTAAGATGTCAACTACGACTGCGTCTGCGCGGGCATTGGCGAAATAATTGTTTCAATTGAACGCCTGAAAATCTAGCTAAATACCAGCTTATTATTTTTATACGTCGAAACATTAATTCCTTTATCATTTTTGCTGCTATATTTTTCAAGACATTCTTTCGGGTGACTTCAGTTGAACGTTATTATAGTTATGTGGAATATTCAATATCTTCAGGTGCATGCAACGAGTGTTGACAAATCGCTATAAGAACATGAAAAATTCAGCGCCACATATTACGGCCGCATGCCAACCCATTCCAATCAAGTGTATTAATCAGTCAAGTCTTCCTACTCCACGAATCATGAAGAGCAATATAACCTTGCCAAACTGTGAAAGTTTAACCGACAGCGGTAGTTCATTTTGCCGTGAGTTAGACACAAGAGGAACGGGCATCTGATAACGTCGCTGGGTCATGGGTATCGGAGGGAGGCAACTCTCCTGTCATGTGACATGCATGTGATAACGTCGCTGGGTCATGGGCATCGAAGGGAGGCAGATCTCCTGCCATGTGGCGCCCATGTGGCAGGAGCGTGTCATGTGGCACGCATGTGGCAGAAGCAGTCATGTGACACGCATGTTGAAGAAGTATGTCATGTGACACGCATGTCTCAAGCAGCACGTGACCACACAGTGCGTGTAACATGACAGCTACAAACCAAGACGCGAGCTTCATGTTTTAGTTGACGCCGTTGGATGTTGGGAGTAAACGTGTCTTGCAACACAAGCATTATGCCTGCGTCTTAATCAAGGCATTTGCATTCGATGCCGGCTTATCATAGTATAGATCGTTAGTTCAATTAATGGCAGTTTGTGTCCGAAACCTCAAAAATGCAGCAAACTGTAATAACTGCAGTCACTGCATCATTCAACACTAGCTCGCTCACTGCAGTAACTGCAAGTATACCACTGCAGCTCGCTCACTGCAGTAACTGCAAGCATTCCACTGCAGCTCCCTCACTGCAGTAACTGCAAGCATGCCACTGCAGCTCCCTCACTGCAGTAACAGCAAGTATGCCACGGCCGCTCGTGCACTGCAATAACAGCAAGTATGCCACGGCCGCTCGTGCACTGCAATAACAGCAAGTATGCCACGGCCACTCGTGCACTGCAATAACAGCAAGTATGCAACGGCCGCTCGTGCACTGTACTTACTGCAGTCGAAGAACGTATCCCATTACATTCCTTTAACTGCAGCTACTGCAGTGAAAACAACAAAAAACATTTAAAGAGGTATTGCAGACGACCATCCATCAAAAAAAGATTGTTATGCCGGACGGTATACTACATCAGACAAGCGTCAATCAACGGTTTAGCTTCGAAAACACATTTTCAGGAAAGATTTTCGAACATATTTGCAGCATGGAAGTTGGGTCAGAAAGCCATGTTTTATGATGACCGAACTTTGCCACCTTCATCAAAACGACCAAAGAATACAACACCTAGAAAATTTTCTGGCCACGTTTACGGTTCGAACTAGAATGGTGCATAACGATCGTCTTGCAGTGGTTTGAAAATCTAGTAATTTCACCACAAAAGAAATTTATATTGTTTCCACATAATAAACTGTTATTTTTTTCGCGGTGCTTCAGCGCAATTACGACGCTGATTGCTGTCATCAAAACAACATGTGCGATGCGCCGTTGTGCCTCTGATTTTTAAAAAGAATTTCGCAAGCTAACTCATCGATTGCCATCACTCACGCTCTGTCATCATTTGGTACAGAAGAAAGTTTGGACACTTGGATTTGATGCGAAATTCTGTCACTTTTGAAGATAAAATCGTACGTGTGGGCGAAAAAAATTATAAGGAATAGTCAATTTTATTATTTAAATAAAAGAATTATTCTGAGAATTATTTAAATAGAATTCAGAAATGTTCAGTTTTTCACTTAACTTATTCACTTTATAATCCCACGTGTGCACAAAAATAACTAAAATATAAGGGATAGCCAATTTGCGGCCTGAGAATTATTTAAACAGAATTCAGAAATGTTCAGTTGCTCGCTTATCTTATTTACTTGAAAATTCACGTGCAATGAAAAAGCAGGTAACGTGGAAATATCAGTTCAATGATGTCCTAGTCACATCCAAATCAGGGGCCATACTTTCAAAACTCGCTAAGTGAACGTAAGTACTTACGCTCTATTTTCTTGTCTATGATTGGTGGATTTTGCTTGAAAGGCCGTCAATGATTGGCTGATGAACTTACGATCTCTTAACTTTTTTGAAAGTATGGGCCTGTGAAGCCCTAGCTACAGCTTAGAACTGGATTGAATTATCTAGCTATTTTATCCAGTACAGTGGATTATCCTAACAGTTCCTCCAATTCACTGGATTAGCTAACGATATCCTTTTGTACAACTACCGTCATCATTGGTTAGTTATTAAGAATGGTTTATTATCACCATTACTTTGCAGTGTATCTTTATTAAATTCAACTGCTGCAGCCCGCCATATGTTGCATGCATTACTCACGCGAGGATAAAACTCTGTTTTTAGACCCTATAATATAACAATCATTAGATTAATTCGTCCATTATAGTTGATTAGCTGATTAAAACAGCAGCATGTACATATTAAATCTAATTAGTTTAATGCGACGGAACACCTAGAAAAGTAAATATCTTGTTAGCTATAAGGTCCGAAACGTCTTCTGAGATTCATATTAGATAATTAATGATAAAAAACAATAAGGTAGAGTGTGGAATGACAGGTCATATTAGAATTTCTTATGTCTCAGGGCAAAAATAATGCTAGGCACAGTACCGCAACAAATCAAGCGTAGAAAATTTTAAGTACATTTTACTATTCTTTATTAGTGTAGTTAGGCAGAAGTTCTTCATTTATACAGGTTTGGTTGAAGACCAGAGCGTACTTTTTATTTACGATTTTCTTATTGTTTTTTTCGATGAGCCGAACGAAATTTCTAGCTGGAGCTTGGATTTGCAAACCACCGGATTCGTCAGGACGTTGAAATTATTCTCGGACTAATTTGATTTTCAATTTTAAACCGTATCTACGATACTTTCTGTATGAACTTATGTCATGTCCAAATTTCAATTTTAAGCGTTGTAATAACTGTTCACTTGCTTGATAATGAATATTGATATATTCGAAACGTCGCACTGCAATAAAATGTCATTCGGTAATCTGCTTTTTGATCTCCAAGCTTCAGCTAGAAATTTCGTTCGACTTATCGAAAAAAAACAATAAGAAAATCGTAAAATAAAAAGTACGCTCTGGTCTTCAACCAAACCTGTATAAATTTACTATTCTCTATACATATAAATGATTTGATACCGGCTAAAGATATGATGAGGGAAGATATGATGATGATTTAATTGAAATGGCTGAATTGTAAAGTGTTCATGTTAAAAATCTAGTAGCCCGATGTGAAAAAACGTGACTATCAGTTCAAACAAAGCCGTTATTTTTAGCGCATTTCCTCATTTATGGAAAAAATGCACTATTGTGCTCGCCATGTCCGTCCGTCTGTACCTGTCTGTCTGTCTGTCTGTCCGTCTGTCCGTCTGTCTGTCCGTCCGTCCGTCTGTCCGTCCGTCCATGACCTCAAGTTTTCGTCGACGAGAAAATGCGCTCTCTGTCACTCACTGCAGTGACTACTGAGTTATATTTTTTTTGATAGCTGTAGTTGCAGTGTATTGTAGAATCATTTTACAAAATTCACGTGCAGTGTCTGATAAGCGTTATTAAGTTGATCAAGAGCAAAGCTTCTTATCCTGTTAATGAGCTGAAGATTCGTTTGCACTTCCGCAGACATTCAGGACATCCTCGAGGCTAGATTTATATTAAATGCACTTACATTACAATGATAAGAAGATCTCTGATACGATTTCGTTTGAAGACGCCGATATACAAGCGTGCCAGCAACTCGTAAGTCAATAGCAATGCACGAACAATGTTTATAGCCTATGAATTTAGTGCATAGTCAATATCACGCGTTCTCTTCCTTTTCTATCGTTTATTTTCGCTTGCTACTAAACTTACGTGTAACGTGCCCTCGAATTTCGTTTGAACCATACGCCGCGATAAGTGCTGCGTAAAATGATAATAATAGTAATAGTAATAATAATAATAATAATAATAATAATAACAATCATAATAATAATAATCATAATAATAATAATAACAATAATAATAATAAAAGTGACAATACAAACCAATGTAAACGAAAAATAATGCAGCCAAAAGAGAATTGAAAACAAATTTAATGTGAGAACGAACTCGCTTGAGACTCAGCGCCGATTTCATTACCAGCCTTCATAAAAAGTTAAAAAGGTTGGTATATATGATCATAAATTATATATATATATACAAAATATAAAATTTCTTGTAATTAGGAAGAGTCTTGATTTAAAATTTTAGTTATTTCCAACAATGCCAAGTAATGGACTGCCATCTATTGCTACCTTCAGCTCACGGTCGTTACTGTACACTAACAATGCAGTGAGAAAATATTTCTTTATCTTCATGTGATATTAAAAACTTGTACGAATCGTGATTGAAGGTGAATTTCAGGGCTCGAGAGAAATAAAAGTTAATCTGAAGAGTGATTAGTGAAATTATTATATATTTCATTTATTTTTTTTTTTTTTATAAAAAGGCCTCCCACACTCACCAAAAAAAAAAGAATTGATTTTATTAATTAAAAACAGGGAATTGTGGTTCAATGTTTGCAGTAATAGGAGTTTATTGATAATAAATTTTTGTTTTGTGTTTAAAATCTAGACTTTTAATATTCTATAATTAATTTTTCTTTTTTATTTGAATATCTAGCCTTTTAATATTCTACTTTGCATGCAAACTGAACTCAGTTTTAGGGAGATCGCCTGTAAGAGAACAACTTCTCAATATCGTCAAAAATCATAATACAGTTAAAATTTGTGACTCAATAAACAATAACGAGCGTCAGTTATTAAGCTGAACTGATAATTAACGTTTATACATCAGAAGCTCCTGGAATATCTCTGATTAAATATAATCAGAGATATATCAGAGATAATTAAATATAATCCTCAGATATAAATCTCTTCCACTTAAACGAGTCTCTGAATAATTAAATTATATTTACTACAATATCGTGCTTCTAGCCGCCTTTATTATTCTTCTCATCCGATAAACTCATGTAAAGTTTTTTAATAAGTCATATTTACATTACATTATTACCACCGTTCACTGACGCTTATTAATTATTCACGCGTAAATTAGATAAAATTCTACTAAGATAAGTTCACATATTATCTCCAAGTTGCACACTTATTCACGAGTAAATTGAAGATAATTCTACTAAGATAATAACACATATTATCTTTAAGTTGCATACTTATTCGCGCGTAAATTAGATACAATTCAACTAAGATAAGCGCACATATTATCTCTAAGTTGCACACTTATTCACGCGTAAATTAGATACAATTCTACTAAGATAAGTTCACATATTATCTCTAAGTTGCACACTTATTCACGGATAAATTGAAGATAATTCAACTAAGACTAGTTCACATATTATCTCCAAGTTGCACACTTATTCACGCGTAAATTGAAGATAATTCAAGCAAGATTCTCGCTATAGCAATGCTCAATAAATTCAAGGTAGGAATCTGCCGCTGTAATTTAGAACTGCCTCATGCAAATTAAAACATCTGACTGGTATACAAGTTCATAAACAACATGCACAGTAAGAACTTTTGTGCTTAATAATGCATTGAAATCGGAGCCTTCAATCTTCATCTCTATTACTCGTGAAAACAAATGTTTTCACGAGTAATAAATAAGGCAATATATAAAAAATAAATAAATAAGAAATAAAAAATAAATAATAAGAAATAAGGCAATATAAATAATTGCATGGGCCATCATGGAAATCATGTCTACGTGCTAAACAAATGTATTGTCAGTATTAAAAAAAAAAAACAAAGAAAAGATTGCTCACATTATTTAATGGTATGAATATTTAATATTATCGTTCTTTAACTCATTCTACGTGTATTTTGATAATTTTTTCACACAGACCAAAGCTAGTCTTGCTTCTGTTAGTTTCTCGTGTGTAAGTCATGTGTATACAATATAATATCTTCTGAACTTGAATTATATCTTCGAAGTATATAAGATTTATTTCAACCAATACTGATTATAATAATTATAAGATATGCGATAATATTTCGTAATTAAATTAAAATTTTCTGCCGAAAATTGGGCCTTATGTATGCAAGCGATGATTTCATGAATGCTCTAAGCCTTTTTACCACGCAGAGCTCTGAGTGACGTCCATTAGCAATTTCGGTCCACATATATAGAAAAACGTGAAGCCCGCGTCGCTACTCTGGAAAAAAATAATGGATCATATTTTCCAGATATTGACACATTTTTATGCCCGCAGCGCGAGCAGAGAACTGACGTGACTGTCGGCTTTAGCCGAGCCAAACCGGGTCAGGATGATCTACACAAGAGTTGACAGATGGCCTAAAAACGGCCACATCCATAAACAAAAAATATAACTCAGTACTCACTGCAGTGAGTAACAGAGAGCGCATTTTCTCTTCGACGAAAACTTGAGGTCACGGACAGACGGACGGACAGACAGACAGACGGACAGACAGACAGACAGACGGACATGGCGAGCACAATAGTGCATTTTTTCCATAAATGAGAAAATGCGCTAAAAAGGCCAAAAAAGGCCTATAACTCAATAAACTCTAGTATATTTGTAGGTTTCGGTGTAAAAATTCAATTTCTTCTTTAGTTCATTTAATTAGGAAGTACCCGTATCATAAATTAGCCGGTCAACGCACTTGCAATAAACTACAACGCGGAATTTGTCCGGAAAAAATACCGTTAAAGTCTCCTCATTTTTCTTAGTGTACGCAAAGCATAATAGTGCAATATATCATCAAAATGAAATCATTTCAAAACGGACTTAAGGTTCAAACCTAAATTTTCTCTGAAATGAAAATAGCGTGAAATATTTATTTACAAATGGTTTACATGCTCATTATCATCAACTCACTCCTGTAAGATTTTTAGAGACCTATAGAGTGGTCAAATATTCATTGGCTTTATAAATCAAGGAACTCTATCGTCGACTCACTGAACGATTTATAAATGAGCTCTACAATGATTTATCATCGTGATTTCTGCTTGTAGTCTTAACCTATATTTCTGCCTATTATTGATTCCGTCGACTTTGATTTTGTATAAAGAATAAAATAAACGTAATTAATCAACCAGATTAATAAAAAATTGGAAGAAATCTTGTTGTCATTCTGACTATTCAATCCCAAAATTCCAGCTTGTAGTAATGAAAATTTAGGCAAATAATTGGCGTCACGATTCCAGTAATAAATACTCAATAATACTACGCAAATTAATTATACAAAAACACAAAAATCATTGAAAATAAAAAAGAAAATATCCTGTGGATGCCGTCTCGGACAACCTCGAAACTATAAAAAAGTGCCTCCAACTATAAAAAAAATCAAATTGAACAAACTAACTCTATTCTCGTGTTCAAAATGAGGTCTTAGCAGTTTATTAATTAGTCATAAAACTGAATACCAGGTAAAAAGAACAACTATTTGCTTTGAAACGCAATACAAGCTGTGGCATCAAATGTTTGTACCAGGCCAGGGAGTTATTCGGAAAGTATCCTGGTGTAAAAGGACTATAAATACAAACATGAGCTATGAGTGGCAGTTGAGCAATGACTTTTTCGCAGTCAAGGCAGGGTGGCCCAGTGGTTACAGTTCAGAGTACCAAGATTGGCGCAGAGAGGCGCGGGTTCGATCCCAGCTCTGGGCGACAGTTTCTGGTCAGAATCGGCAAGGAGGCCGGGCGGTTAAACACAGCAGAATTGTAGCAGTGAGTTCCGAGTTCGAGACCGCAAAATGCTGTGAATGTTCTGCGATGTTCAGAATCGGCGACAGGCCTACGGCCTAATAAACGCTGAAACCGCTATTATTATTATTATTAAGTAATAACGCACGAAAACGTGTGATCATGCGACGTTTTCATCGTTTTCATGCCTCTGCCTATCATCACTCAGCTGAGTATCATTATTGTACCATGCACATCCTACCATGCCTGAGAATTAAGTGAAACGAATTAAAACATACGTAAAAGCCAAGCACCCAAATTAACACACTTGGCCCGGTTTTTATCGTGATCACTAACGTAGCGATTTCTCGCTACGCGAATGTTAGAATTTCGAGAAGTTGCCACTCGTATTTTATTAAAAAGTAACATGGTTGAGCAATTTTACATCTGAGTAAACTTCTGCTATGAATTTATCAATCATGATTTCTATTTTCTAAATCTATGTTAGTAAAAAGATCAGGCAATCGGTCACAATCATTAAATCTAGCATAAAAATTATCATTTTTCGTGCCAGAATGCCGGCCACGAAAGGATCTACACACGATTTCGTCTCACTCCTATCTTGTATGAATCCACCCACATATTATTTACATGAGAATAACCCACGACGAATAAACATAGAAGCGAAATCAGTTTACAAGGCTTGAACTTACCTGTCTGTACTTCCAGTTACCGAAGAACGCTACTGTACAAGAGCGACTGGCGGCCAAGGGGCGAGTGATGATTGACTCCAGCAGCGGGTGGTCGGCAGCCTGGCAGGTTCGATGGTCTCCCATGGTTACATAGTACTTAAGTGCGGGAGGGGGGGATTAGGTACCTAATGGAAGGTACTGATACTAATACTGAACATGAACCTAATTCAGAGGATAATGATACATTACGATTTATCTGGATGAGTTCATGAAAAATCGATGTTGAAGTCGTGTTAAATCGATTCGAAAACAGACCACGTTGTAGCCTGGGCTTTTTTGATGTATCATGTACTTTTGTGCTTTTTAAAGCGTGAATATTGTATAATTAGAGTATGTACAAAATTTCAGTGCCATCAGTGCTGGTCCTCACTTTCAATGGCTGTCTTCGCCCATCGCCACCGGCAGCTCGGTTCGCGGTACCTCCTGTCAGTGCAGAAATTCAAAAGTTAAGCTTCGGAAATTCTCATTTAAATGTTCTTTGGGATAATTTATGATTAGTTACACTAGCGCAGATACTCCTGGGAAATTATTTTGATATGATGTTGCTTGTCTGGAATACAATTTATAAAAAATTTATCGATATCGAGTCCCAATTAGTTCTGACATTGGTTCGTGCCCCAGACTCATTGTTGCGGCTACGCTACACTCAGCGCTGACTCTGTCGGGCGTCTTGACCTGGGTCGGCTACGCTACACTCAGCGCTGACTCTGTCGGGCGTCTTGCTATGCGTCGGCTACGCTACACTCAGCGCAAACTCTGTTGGAAGTCTTGACCTGGGTCGGCTACGCTACACTCAGCGCTGACTCTGTCGGGCGTCTTGACCTGGGTCGGCTACGCTACACTCAGCGCTGACACTGTCGGGCGTCTCGACCTGGGCCGGCTACGCTAGACTCAGCGCTGACTCTGTCGGGCGTCTTGCCCTGGGTCGGCTACGCTACACTCAGCGCTGACACTGTCGGGCGTCTTGACCTGGGCCGGCTACGCTACACTCAGCGCTGACTCTGTCGGGCGTCTTGACCTGGGCCAGCTACGCTACACTCAGCGCTGACTCTGTCGTGCGTCTTGACCTGGGTCGGCTACGCTACACTCAGCGCTGACTCTGTCGGGCGTCTTGACCTGGGTCGGTTACGCTACACTCAGCGCTGACTCTGTCGGGCGTCTTGACCTGGGTCGGTTACGCTACACTCAGCGCTGAAACCCTGTTGGACGTCTTGACCTGCCTGGGCATCTACACTATACCACGGCGAAGACTAAAGATTCGATGTACGTCTAAGGTGGGTGGCATGTGATTTTTAAGTATTACTTTGTTAACTTCAAACGTACAATCAGGTACTCTATTTAAACATTCATGTACCAAATCCTGCACCAGCTCAGACCAAATGTATTTATGTACCAAATCCTGCACCAGCTTTCTAATGGTGGTATTAAAGTTTGGCCGCTCAAAGTTCACAAAAGTCTCTTGCCATTACCTAAAGTACTTGTATTCTTACCTATGTATGCTCGTTCATTACCATTACCGCAGGTACTCGTACTCTTGCCTAATTCTCACTGAATTACAATTACCTCACGTGCTTCTTGTCATCTCACCTTAGTTTTACAAATCTCAATTATTTCAAGCACTTGAAAAGTCGAAACTCTTGCCTTCTCGTAACAATTTACCTTGACATGAAGTAGTTGAATCTATTATTACTGTTACCTATATGATAATTTTATCTTTAGAGACCGGGTAAATATAATATTTAATTTCTTATACAGCTATTATTTTCATGCAGCTCACAAAGTATTTTGTTTAACGGCTGCGCTTCTGCTTCCGATATCGGGCGGTCGAGGGAGCGCAACCGACGAGCATTGAGCCGTTCTCCCGGCCGACCATCCTATATGCTAGCATCGGTTACTTCATACGTGATTAAAGCTCTTGAATTCGAGACTCGTTTAAACCCCCACTCGTAAAAATTTTGCACAAGTTCGAGCATGAAGCCTCGTACCAACAAAACAGCTACAGGGAAAATGGACCATATTACGTGCGACTACATATATAGCGTTTACCAATCGCAAAATGCCTGTGGCAAACGATAGCCTAATTGTCATATTTATAGCAGTCTTGATACCAGAAAATCCAAGTACATCGTTTTGTAAGCTATGACTGATGTCAATGCATCTGATTTTCTCACACCCAACTAATGAGCGCTATCGATAAAAATTTAACAACCGCAGGTTAGTTGCTCGATCGGGGTAGCCCGTATAATTCATCTTCTTCGATCGCAGTGATTTGATTGAGTCTTGACGATCTCAATCTTGACACAAGAAAATTCCACCAAATTTCATTTTTATCTATGACCAATGAAGCATGCCCATCACACTCAATTCATTTGTTTCATTTGACAATAAATTCCTAGGATATAGTGTATGAGATAGTGATACGATTTTTATTCTTTAGAATTATATTATTGGCTGTCAAGTGAGCAATTAGTGAGTGCAATATAAAATATAATACTTTATGGATGAGCGCAGCTGATTTTTTTAGCGCCGCGGGCGAGTTTGTGGGTGGTGGGTGAGATACACATGGGTGAGATCGGAGAAGTCTCGCTTCGGTCAGCGTCAATATCATGATGAATTAATAGCGTATTAAATATGATTAGATAATACATGCTGAAACCACTATTACTGGGCAGGGTGGCCCCGTGGTTACAGTTCAGAGTTATAGGAGTGAAACAGAGAGGTGCGGGTTCGATCCCAGCTCTGTGCGCCAGTTTCTGGTCAGAATCGGCAAGGAGGCCGGGTGGTTAAGCACAGCAGAATAGTAGCAGTGGGTTGCGTGTTCGCGACCGCAATAAGTTGTGTGGAAATGCTATTAAGAATCGGCGACAAGCCTGCGGCCTAATAAACGCTGAAACCGCTGTATTATATTAATACATATAGTAATAAAGAACATTCACAGCATTTTGCGGTCTCGAACACGCAACTCACTGCTACAATTCTGCTGTGCATAACCGCCCGACCTCCTAGCCGATTCTGACCACAAACTGTCTCAAAAAGCTGGGATCGAACCCGCACCTCACTGCACCAATCTTGGTAGTTGGTACTCTGAACTGTAATAGAGTATATTTCGTAAAAAAATACTAATAAATTTAAATACATTTTTTCCCAGTGAAATGGATTGATAATTATTAATAAATTCACTGTAAATGTAATCTCTGGCTTTGACAGTAAAATCGCTTCACGCTTGGTTGTTTTCGCCATGGTTGAACTAGTATTTATAGTTCAACCATGATTTCCGCAACTTTGCAGGAAGAACGACGGATTTCACTTAACATCAGAGTCTCGTGTTGCTTATAGCCTCACTTGCATTCTTTCATCTTTGTACGGCTGTACTCGCTACTCAGGACTCAGGAGTCAGAGCGATGTGCCTTGAGAAGTTGAGACTTGAGATCCGCCCAACCAAAGGCCTTTATAAAAACTGCTACTGCATCTTCGTATAACTACTAATTACTCTGGCATAACGGTAAACGAGAACTTTTACAGGAACCAGTTCATTTATGATTACCTATCCTGATCTATTGCGACTTGCAAGTTGCCAGTTGGCAGGCCGCTTAGGCAAGATAGGCTAATAATAGTGCCAACTTTCCATTGCTAACTTGCTAAGATCATGTAATTCAATTTCTTTTAATCCATGATTGACATGATGTGACAATGAATAATTGATATGCCAAACCCCATTAGTGAAATTTGAATATAAGGATATAACCAATTAACCATAAACCATGAAACCATACAGCATGATACAGACCAATTGGATTATTGGTGTAATAGGATGTTTTTAGTATGAATTTGTCATAAGGAAAAAATAATGCTAATACACTATGTGTGTCAGTGTGCCATAGACAGTGTGTACAGCTAGTCTGGAAAAGTCCTATTTTTGTCTGAAATATCGCGGCTCTAATATCATATAATTTCAGTAGGTATGAAATCTCGCGGCTCGAATGTCATAAATTTTTGTTTGATTAAAAAATCGCGGTTTGCACTTCGCAAACATGTCATTTCATAAAATTTTCAACTTCCGCAATCCGCATGCAAACCGCAATTTTTTCAATCAAACAAAAATACATGACATTGGAGCCGCAAGATTTTATGCCTACTGAAATTAGATGATATCAGAGCTGCAATATTTCAGAAAAAGTTAGATTTTTCCTTGACATGATTTCAGTGTTTTACATTTTTAAATTTCATTTACTCATTTGACTGAAATGTAAGAATTCCTTTGATTATCCATGGCACATTACTAACAATGAGTTATATTCTGAATTTTCAGCACATCAAAATGGAATTGAAGACCTTATGATTGGTTCAGTTGAAAAGAAGTTGCATTTTCCCCAGGATGCAGAATGTGGGTGAATATTGCAAGATCTTTGGCTACGCATAAGCAGCAAAATTTACGCCTTCAGAAGATCTTGCTGACACATTTGAATTTAAATTATTGTATTTTATATATTTGCCAGTCTCTGGCCAACTATTTAGAAAATAGATGAAAATCTGAAAGACCACAAGCGCACACAGTAAAGTTTTAGCCTTTTGGTACATTGGAATAAATAAATAAACTTTTGTGACTAGCCTTATGAAAAATGGAAAAAATCTCTGGCTTTTAATGAAGCCAAATTGTTGGTGCTCGTATGGCTGGTGGACAGTAATGATTGGATGATTCAGGATGCAGTGAAGGTCGCCTGGAAACATGGTGCAATTCTATAGGTTATTCAAAAGAACCTGGTCTTTTGTCATTTTGAACCGATCGACACTTCTTTACGGACCGAGGACCGATCATGTAACACAACCTTACCCGGAAAAAGCTTTCTTGCTTCTGAAGAAAGGGGTGGTTCGTCAGCTGAGCTGACACTGGCTGTGGGCGGCTTGGGGGCCTTGGGCCAGGGTGCAGATGGTGGATGCAGCGTTGCCAATAGTATATGGGTAATGGGTTTTTAAGCCTAAAGCGTCGTCAACCATTTTCAAGATGTGTTGCTAGGTAGTTTTTAATGAAAAGCCATTTACGCTGAGTAATCAAAAACTATTTACAAGGCACAAGCCACGAACTTATTTACAAGGTTGCATACACTGATATACATGTTTATGATGTTATCCCAAATAACTAAATTTACCCTAATAACAGTCCAATTGTACAGCAAGTGTCAACTGAACATGTGATAATGCAGTCTGACCGCAACTACGCAACTGTAAACTTGTTTACATTTTTTTTTGCGGAAACTCATTGTAAGTGAATCCTGGACAAGCTTCACTGTATCCTGATCTATCCATTCATTCCATTGTACCGGAAACCTTACTTTTTTTCTCAATAGTTGGCCAAAGACTGATAAATATATTAAATGCAAGAATTTCAATCTAAATGTGTTGGCAAGATTTTCCGAAGGCGTAAATTTTGCTACAGAAGCATCGCCAAAGATTTTGCAATATTCATCCACTCTCTGCACAGTGGGCCTTGCTGCCTTGGGGCTTGGGGGCTGGATGGATAGAATTTTTCTAGTACTTGTTAAGTTGTTTGGTGTTCTTGGCTTCTTGCCTCCTGGAGAATCATGCACCTGCAAACTTCAATGTGACAAATGTTCAATATATTTGAAATCTTGTGGCTCTATTATACTATACGCATTTATTAACAATCAGATAGGAAGTATTTCAACTACTTATAGCCACAATCTCCTAGACATGGTATTGGTATATCCCCTATCCAAAATGTTAGGACTTAGGATTAGGAAAGCTCTAGTTGTGCCCCAAAAGCTACCATAGAAGTTTTCTACAATCTTCACTAGTATGGCCGCACTATGGGGCCAATAATAGAGGCAGCTTGGAATAAAGAAGTCGAGAAGCCAACCATGTATAAGTAAGACAAAAATGCCCATGATCATGATGAATTTAACCCCTTCTTATGACCTTTTGGCTTTTGGTAATTTCTTCAGTAAAAATTAAAAAGAAAGACATTTTTGCTTGTGATTTTTGAGAATCAGAAAAAATCTATTTTGTTTACAATATTTGTGTACTACTGTTCCAGGCTTGTTAGGAGATTGCAAAACTCCTACGTTGGCCGAACTTTAAAAATGGACTGAAACTACCCATGAATGAGAGAGAATTATTCATGCTTGTTGTCAATTTCAACCATTCATTTTATTTGGCCCTTGAATTTGACTAATTTCTTCAGTGAAAATTAAAACAAATAACACTCAACAGGCAATTGCCAGCTATTGTCAAAAATTGTTGATGAAACCATCTTGTTCACCTAAAATTTATTTGAAACTATGCCCTATCTTAATATTGTTAGTTGCCAGGGACTGCTGTTTGGCAGCACGCCCCTGCAAAGCAGCAAAGGTGGCAGCTCTGGGAAAGGAAGCAGGAGCAATGAGAGGCATATGCCAAAGTTGGTCCAGGATTAGACCAGAGGTCCAGTGGGGTTAGCAAGGTGGGGTGTGATGGGTAGCAAAAGCCCTATCTTGAAGATTGACCCTAGCAATCTTGAAGATTTAACAGGCAGGGCAACTTGGAAAGTAGATATACCTATTCCACACTTGTGTGGAGTGCGCCAAGTGGCAACTTAAGGATCATTGACAAAAGAATCAATTCAAACTATTTAGACCTATAACATGATAGCATGATTAGCATCAAGGATTAGCATCAAAATTAGGATTTTCCCAATCCTGATCTGATGTGATATTACTTACCGTTGAGTTCTCATTGGTATAAAAAAATTTAACTTGTGAACCTAATATTTCAATTGTAAATCTAATGACATTTCTTAACTGTCTTGCAGAGGTTTGAAGTTGCTTTAAACAGCAAATCCAAGATTTCCTAATTTACCTGAAGCTTTTACTACACCGAGCAGCAATCATGTCAAGCAGTGATTACGAGTCAGACACTCCTGTGGCAGTTCCCTTGAAAGCAGCTAGAAATGAAATACTAAATGATGCCAAAGACAAAGAAAGATCCATTTCTCTTGAGAAAAAGAGGAAAAAAAATTCCATTAAAGAGATAAGAGCGCGCAGACATGAGAGAAATATTCAACAAAAGAAAGTCAAGGTAAGTTCATTTTTGTCCAAGCATTACATGAAGGTTAGGGTACATACAGATCTTTATATCATGTTTTTCTAAATGCTGCTCATGCATTTCTATCCAAAGTATACAACCCTAATAAGCCTAAGTGCCAGATGCCTCTGAGTTAATAACCATTTGTTATTAACTCAAACTGCTCCAAATATTTTAATATGTAATTAAATTTAATTTAAATTTTGGATGAAAATTTTTATTGTAATTTTATTTGTTATTAAGTCTAGATTTTGATGAAATTTCTGAGCTATTCATGTAATTAAAGAATAGTACAAGTAATTTCATCACATCCAAATGAAGGGCATTACCGAGACTATTGTAAATGTCTTTTATTTTATGTAAGTGTTTATCTTATTTGATGTAATTCCTCATGTTGCACAGTTGCATTTCTGTATGCATTCAGAAATTTTTCATGTAAAATACAGTATTGACTCCTCTGATGATGCATTCTAGTGCTAAGAAAATAGTTGGAAACTGGAAAGGATTTATTCTTAGGTTTATGGCAGGCCAAACAGTTTTCTTTTCAACATCTAATGTCAATAAATGATACTCTAAATGTATTTTTTTAATGATAGATCATTTGTTTTATAATGTAAATGCATGACAGATAAATGTAAATTCTTCATTGGTGTTTAGCAGCTGAAATATATTTTATCTGTGAAAATGCAAGTGAATTCAAATTCATTGAATGCCACTGACCCAATGCATTGAATCATCACTTCAACTTGCTTTTCCTGCCATACTATCATGGACATTGTGCATGTATAAATTCTACCATCATATTCTATTGTATAGCAAAATTGTACATTCTTAGGATATTTTCATCTCAAAGAATTCTAGCTACTTATCTTAATAATTTCTTTCAGACTTCACAAGATAATAAGATGAAGGCCATGTTTTCATTTCATAGAATTCTAGCTACTTATCTTAATGATTTCTTTCAGACTTCACAAGATAATAAGATGAAGGCCATGTTTTCATTTCATAGAATTCTAGCTACTTATCTTAATAATTTCTTTCAGACTACACAAGATAATAAGATGAAGGCCATGCTGCTCGACACCAACTTACTGCAGAGTGCCAAGGCTTTGAAGACAAAGATAGACGAGGAGGAAATTGATGAAGATAAAGAAATGGATACAGAATTCAACACAACAGCTGAAGAACACAGAAGTAATCAAGATTTGAGTAGTGGTGCCAGTGACAATGAATCTGACAGTGAACCAGTTGATTATTTCCATAAAGATCGTAAGTATTGAGATAATTTTAGATCATTGTGGTAAAGCAGAGACTTTTTACAACACTTCTCTTTAACTTCACTTCTTGTTTGTCTGTTTGTCTGTCTGTCTGTCTGTCTGTCTGTCTGTCTGTCTGTCTGCTACAAATATTGTAATCAAAATTTAACACACTTCTACTTATCCTATCAATCTGAAATTTTGCATACCTGTTTAAAGTTGGAGACAATGCATGAATCAAATGTCAAAATAAATGATTTTAAAAAGTAATAAAAATTTTTTTTTTCAATATTAAAAAAATTGAAAAAATAATTTTGTCAGCTACAAATCTTATAACTGATATTTGACACACTTTTACCTGTCTAATTGATCTGAAATTTTGCACACTTGTGTGAAGTCAGAGGCAATGCATGAATCAATTAATAGAATAAATAATTTTGAAAAAAAATTGTCTATTGAAAAAAATTTATATATAAAAAAATTCTAAAATTATTTTTTTTAATATTCGAAAATTAAATGAGAAATTCATGGTACATCTTTAAGATTGGAGACACTGGGTTCTTTGGAAGTGTTGTCTTTAAAAAGTAATTTTTAAACGTATATTATTTAGACTCCTCCTGTTCAACTTTCAAGTCCTATAAATTGACCCACAATTTAGATAGTACCCATATTTTTCTCATAGATTTATCTAATTTGGAATAAGCAAGCTTGAGTAATACCTAGCCTTTCGTTGATACACAATAAAGATCAAATCTGTAAGTAAAAGTGTTTTATATGGATAGATTTAACGATCCTCTTATGTTCCTATCAGTGGGAGTTGCAAGAAGTCTTCAATTTGTACCGTACCATTGGCCGAATGCTCATCCATGTATACTGACCCTTGTTAATTTTGAGGTTCATTGCCTCCATTTATTCCTGCATTTTCTTTGCTAGTATTTTTATAAGTCAGTGATGCTCTACCATTTCCTTTATAAAAGTGAGCGATATGATTTATATGTACTACGGTAAATACATTTATGTATATTTTTAGTTATTTTTCACTCATACTTGCATATATAGTATCTAAGTAAGGTTGTTGGGCACCTGTAAGGATGTGTTGTAACTGATTGTGCCACTGTTGTCTGTGTTGTAACTAATTGTGCCACTGTTGTCTGTGTTGTAACTGATTGTGCCACTGTTGTCTGTGTTGTAACTAATTGTGCCACTGTTGTCTGTGTTGTAACTGATTGTGCCACTGTTGTTTGTGTTACAGCTGGAGTGCACGTGGTGAGCGCAACAGAATCTACAGACTATTTCCTGAAGAAGGCCCTGCAGTGGAAGCAGGAGATGCTCTATGGACCTTCCATAAACAGGATGACATGTGCGTCTGTATACTTTTACCTGATTGTACAATTAAATTTAATTTTTTATCATTTAAGGTCCAATGTTTTTTGTAGTTTGTGCAATAATTTTTTTATTTAATAATTGCGTAGTTGAATGAGGAAGATATCAATAACAATTGCCAATTTATCTTAGTAGCAATCAGTAGTCAGTGTTGTTAAGAAATTTGGTTCACAAATTTTTCTATTAAATTAGGGAACCTTGATCAAACTGAGATTACTTTGTTCGCTTTTTGATCAAGCATATAATTTTGACATGCATGATTTCTAAGGTTGGAGACAATGACGTCTAGGTATTTAGACGGTCGTCTATGACGAATAACAGCTCTGCATTGATCAATAATTTTTTTTCATCAGGAACAATTTTGCATTACTTCTAAATGAATTGCGTAAATTCAGGAAGAAACACGTCCCATAACTTGTATATTTGTTTTTGTCACCTTAAATATTATTATTATTTTTTTGTGGTTGCACTGCAAAGCTCGTCTTGCTCCTTACTGCGACTCTGTGTTATTCCTTCTTTCTACTGGATCTCTGTATGTCTTGTCTTATTCCCTCTTTCTACTGGGTCTCTGTATGTCTTGTGTTATTCCCTCTTTCTACTGGATCTCTTGATGTCTTGTATTGTTCCCTCTTTCTACTGGGTCTCTTGATGTCTTGTATTGTTCCCTCTTTCTACTGGATCTCTGTATGTCTTGTGTTATTCCCTCTTTCTACTGGATCTCTGTATGTCTTGTGTTATTCCCTCTTTCTACTGGATCTCTGTATGTCTTGTGTTGTTCCCTCTTTCTTCTGGATCTCTTGATATCTTGTATTATTCCCTCTTTCTTCTGGATCTCTGTATGTCTTGTGTTATTCCCTCTTTCTACTGGATCTCTGTATGTCTTGTGTTATTCCCTCTTTCTTCTGGATCTCTTGATGTCTCATAATTTAGAGGAAAATTTCTCTGCTATGTCTGTTAGTTATGAGAATAACTTGCAAACTTAAAGCTTGCAGGTGCGTGACAAAGTTCTCGATCTTTGGTTTTACTTGTTATCTTTATCTTTTGTTATCCTGTTATCAAAGTTATCTTTGGTTTTGTCAGATGCTGAATAAATCAGACATTCTTCTCAGTGTCTTCTGATGTCACTATTGAGTGGCTTCTTATTCATGTTTTTTTTTCTTGTATTCATATCATATTTTTCATCATATTTGGCCTAAAATGCAATAAAAATTTAATTTTTATATTTTATAGTTATATAGGTAATTAATTTAATTTGCGTTTCATGATTAATTATTTACCGGTACTTGACTTTTAATAACCATTTGTTTAATATATTTTTGTTTGTTAATTCAAATTTATTGTAATTATTTATTAAATTTATGCACTAAATTATTTTAATTAATAATATACACGTTTAGGTATTTTTGTTTTCATTGAAGACATCTATCATGAATTGACTTGGCATTTTCTCTGCTTTTCAACACCTGCTTTCTTACAGTATTGGGATGTCTGAGATGGAAACATACACACGGGGGCCTGGTACTTTGTTCCTTGACCATTACCAGTCTAAGTTGTAGCTCCTCTTTTTTTTTGCTTTTTCTAGTCACTCTCTCCTACCATTATATATGTTGGCTTTTCTGTCTCTTTCCTAGGCTTACAAACGGAACTGGCATTTCCTCCCCCAGTGCCATTTGAATTTTTTAGTTCTTGTCCACTTATTTGCTTTAGTTTTTTTTTTTTTTGTCTTCATCTATCTTATGCCTGATACTTAACCAGATACAATGCCTTGTTTATCCGGTGACGAATCAAGCCTAACTTTCGTTTTCGTGGTTTGTTTCCTACCAAGGGACACAGAATTTTATCGCCGATTGTGTGTCGTCATCTCTTACTGCTAGTGCTTTAATAAATATTTCAATTAATTAAATATGCTGTAATAAATAAATTAATTCAGGAGCTGCGATGATGCAGTGGTGAGAGACTCTGTCTCTCGCACCCAGCTCCTGGGTTCGAGTCCCACGCAGGACAAGCTCTTCCGGGAAGCTCAGCTCATAGCCAACTCAGCCATTCATTCATTTCTGGTTAAATAAGTGTGTACCTTGCTTGTCCAGGGTGTTGTGTTATGCAAATAAAATGGTTCTGGCCGGTCATCGAGCCAGTGATGGTCGTGGAACTACTAGTGGCCTGAGTGCCCTGAAAAATCACACTCCTTCTCCCTAGTCACCACTACCAGGATGGGCAAATACTACGCAACAGCATTCTTGTCATCTTGGTGTCCATAGTTTTCATTTATTTATAAATTTTAAACGTTTATTCAAGGTCGAAATCTACCTTTGATTTACTTGGCAAGGTCTGTAGATCGGCTACGTAACGACTATTATTCCACTATCTTATGTACTGTACTGTTAATCCCATGAATTTAATTTAAATCTATTCAACTGTGCAGATGCTGAATACAAGTCCATGAAGGAGAAGAAGGAAGCTGAAAACACTCGACCCAAACTCGAAAAAAGAACTCGTCTAAGATAAATGCTCTGGCTTTTCACTGTTGTTTAAATTCTCACTCGGTCGCGTTTAAGTTTGCTTTCATATGGAAGGAACCTACAACAAAAACTGTCCTCTGATATTCACGTCATATTTATATTCTTGAAATAAACGCGTTCTCATTTTAGAAAGAACTTTTAACCTGGAAGAAAGTGGGGGGGGGGAAATTTCATTCGTGCATTCTTACTCGTAGCATCTCAGTAACGTGCTAATATCCCCCCATGATATTTAGTTTTTAACGCTCTTCACCGTTCGAACCATTAGTATGTATAGATGCCTGTAAACAATTTTGTTGAATCTGCCTTGATATAAAAATTTTTGGATTACTTAATGCACATTAGCTAAACGGTCCCTGGAGCAGGCAGCGGATGCGCATCTGTTATCCTTCGAGGCGTTATGTGCTTTTTAATAGATTCTGTTCAAAATTTGTGTGTAAATCGATTATTTAGGCTCTTAATCAGGTTTTCATTTGCGTGGGTAGAGTTGAGTCGCAGTGTCGCACCGTAGAAGAGAGTAATGCTACAAGACCTGGTCCATAAGTGTTCCGATCTATTGCCGGTCACAATTGGCTCTATAAATAAAAGAAATTCATGAAGTTTTCAACTTTTGATTAATTATTTAATTTCGTAGTAAACTAATTCAATGTTCGTTAGAGACAGGAAATTTTTTATCTTGGTACAAAGTGGGGGTAAATTATCTGAAAAATTCAACATCGGTTTTGGAAATGGACTGGTATATTGCAAATTATTTTCGCCCGATATATTTAAATAAATATTATAACTTTACCTGTTTTGATCTCTGCTGTCGCCGTGCTAATGCCATAGAAGTTAGTGCACTTCTGTGGACCTCACGATTGTTTAGTAAATGTTGAACTATCGGCTACCCGCTACACGATTCTCTGTGATTTTGACGACCTGACTGTTTTTGAGACTTGAGACGTTGAGTCTGTGACCTTCCGAGTTCCGAGTCTGATTGCCGTCGTTCCGAGAGAAGTTTACGGATTATTTGCTATTTTGCAAATAACTTGGCTAACAATCTTATTTGGCTCCTTGTAAAGATAAGAATTATAATTACTAGTTTTCTATGATTGAATTTAAAACTCGGCTTAGAAGTTAGAACTTCAGAAGTTTACTTTACTGCTTTTGATTAGTTAGGTACACCTTCTAACTCTAGTAGACTAGTCTAACTCCATTGCTCATTCCATTGCTGTTAACACTAACAGTTACCTACAGTGTAGGTAACTGTTGCTGTTTGAGTGTTAGTGCTGCTACTGCTGCATCTGTAGACTGTAGGCACTAGCCCTAGGCAGGCCGCAGGTAGCAACTCTAGCAAGTAGACTGGCAGCGTGGCAGGCAGTCTGGACTAGGGCCTGGGCCATTGTCATCATGACTTGACATTTGACAAATCAATTTAGAAATTAAATTTTACACAAATTGACAATAAAAATTGGTGTTGCATCTTGAAAAGGTTTTGATCTCTTTTCTTTATAACTTATAAGTTTGTTGGCTAGAAAACTGAATTTGCAGCTTGCAGAATTTGGACAACAGGCAAGGCAAGAGTTACTATATAGTTACTAAAACTTTTCACCCATATGATATAGTACCGTATATCATATGGGTGAAAAGTTTATAGTAACCTTGGTGGCTTGGTGTAATGGTGTTGATGGTGTAAATGGTGCTCATGCTCATTGCTCAGTCTTCAGTCAAGGCTCTGAAATTGACTCAATTGAGTAGGTAAAAATCCAGATTCCAGACTGCTCGAGTCTGCTGGTAAGTTCATGCCTTCATGGTTGAGACTTGAGTGGAGAAATCATAAATCATTAAATGTAGATTCAGTTGGTTTTTGAGGTGCCATTGTTTTTGGGCCAAAAACAACGGCACCTCAAAAACCAACTAGAAAGCTAGAATTCTAGCCTTCTAAGATAGTGCATAATGCATCTCGATTATCAGCATATGTCATTTTTAGGTATGGAATACTGGCCAATGTTATTATGTTAAAAATGTTGGTAGGTATGTGCACTGGTTAATTTAATAGCTCTCCAGAATTCCAGCATGCGTGAGCGTGAGTCATTACTCATTCCTACTAGAAGATCTAGACTCTAGACCTATTACTAATTATTCTTGCGTTTGTCTATATCAAAGATTTGTTTTCTACTTTTCTAGTAGTACTACACTTTAGTACTTTTAGTACTACTACTATCATACTGTCTGTACTATGTACTAACTACTATTATACTATATAAACAAAACTTTGGTATAGATTATAAAAATACAAGAATTAGTAATAGTTCTAGATTTCATAAAAATCCTATAGACAAACAAAACTGTTACTAGGTCTGAGTAGTAAAAAAATAGCAAAACGATACAGCAAAAATGCTACTCTTCTCATTGCCATCGCCTACCTAAATATCAATCTTATTAAAGGACAAAACCTCAAACTATCCTTGCTCCCTTAGTATCCTAAATACCTGAATTACTTGAAGTAAAGAACTATTTCTCACAAATTGGTACATACATCCGCCTCAAGTTCAACCGCAGCTTTGACGAGAATATCCTAGTCTCGTGCCGACAGGGTAATACCTGACCAGTGTTGCCAGGTTTTTTCTTTGCGAGAATACCAGATTGCCTAGCTCAAAATACCAGAAATATACCAGAAATTATATCGTTCAAAAATAGACTAATACCTCCAAATTTATTAAAACTATTCGTCAGAAACGTTGGTTAGAAAAAAATTATCTTATGTACTGTGCAGTTATCTGGCTTGACGATAATTAGCCAAATTGAACACGTTATATTTTTTCCCCTCTGTTTGGTACATTTTGACACTTTTTTCCCCTGTGTTCGATTACATTGACACTTTTTCCTTTTTTTTATCAGTGTCATTGTGGCACTTTTCCTCTTCGCTCAACATGAGCAAGCCACGGAAACAGGTTATCTTCATTTTGCTTATTTTCGTACATGCTTGCATATTGCATTAATCTAAAATTTCGGGTGTGATCACTTATTGCGGTTGAGCAGATAGCTTTTGGTCCGAATAACGGACTCCAGTACCTTAGTTGAAATTTTATTTCGTTGCTTGTTTTTCACATAGGTGACTTGCGATAACACTCGCTCCACGAATACATTGGAGACAGGTCAAAGTAGACAAGTGATGCAGTAGGCAGCCAGTTCCCTGAATGGATGATAATTGTCAAGATCAGTGAAATAATGAATGGCACCCCAGAATTCAAGTGTCACTCTAGAATTCAAAACCACCAAACAAAAATGGTGGAGCTTGCGTCGCAGAGATCGGTTCGACAACCTCACTCGTCCTAGGCCATATCATCAGTTCATCACTGATCAGAATCAATCAAGGATCATCACTCTCGTGCTTATATTGCACTAAGCACTTTTGTTAAATGTTAACAATTAAATTGGGGTTATTTTATCAAACGGTAAACTTGCGGTTCCAAAAATGGCGGGAAACATCTAGTCGCGCCACTCTGATGGTAATCTATATAATCCACGCCTACGTTGGAGGAAATTCAAACTTCAGAGGTGGAACCTAATGCAGTAAATTTGCAGTAAATCAGAAAATACCAGAAAAATACCAGATTTAGGCAAATATACCAGATCTAAAATGTTCATACCAGACACCTTCTGAAAATACCAGATTTGTGAAATCTGGTATAGAAATATACCATCTGGCAACGCTGTGTAACCTGACGCGGACGACCGAAGACGCTCAAGTGGCTGACATGGCGAACGAATGATCAATGAAATAGCGCGGATTAACGAATTCCGCAAATTAAGCAAAGAGTAATTGTTGTACCAGCTTCAAAAATTTTTATTCATTCATAAAAAATCTAATTTTACAGGTTCATTTATCATTAAAAATCGGCTTATTTATGCCACTCTATAATTTTGCTTTTCAACTTATTCATAGAATAGATATTCTGTTAAAAATGAACGTCTCGGACGCTACTTAACCCAATTATAAATCATGAAACTTGCACAATAAGCATCGGCTCGCCGCCGCAGTCCATATCTGTACATCTGCCTTACCATGGTCGGTGCCGACCCAAAAATATATCGCAATACAACGAGGGAAGAGAGAGCGCGAAGTGTGCAAAATTTTTCACATCACGCATCACCATCAAAAAATATAAAATATTTTTACATAAACGTCCGCCTAATAGACATGTAAACAATTTACCTCATGAAATCCATGATTAATTACAATATCTTCGATGAAAACAAATGTTACCGTTTCATTAAATTATAATTTCTGGAATACTTACCTTTGTACAGCTCAAATAGCGAATATAACAAATTACTATTTTCTATGGATAACTGAATAAAAATATCTCACCTTGTATCGCGCGTGATATAAAGCATCTTCACATAGAATAGAATAGAAGAATAGAAGTGTCGGCGTTGAAGAAATAGGCCCATGGCCTGTTGCCGTATTTGCACTTAAATCCAAATCTATTTCTTGATTGTAACGGCTCAAGATTATTATGGTAATTTGAATAACTTTAATTCCCATTTAAAAATTACGGATAAACGATGTTCGACGTGACGACAGCAGTGAGTAGAATTTAGAAGTAAAATAAAGTTATGTTCGATGAACACAAACACTGAATTTTGATAAACTGTGAAAATAAACTTAACGAAATATGTCATTTATGATGTATAAACCTCGAAGAGTTGCCATATAAGGTAACTCATAAGCGTTACTATGTATGGCAACTCTTAGGCGTTACCATACATGGAAACGCTTCGTTATCGTGCCTCTGCCAACCACCAGGCAGGAGCCCATCGTTCTGTACATAATATCAACTCCTGTTATTTTTAGTTAATAAAATATTAGTATTTGTGGTTCAGAGACCAAAATGACCTTCTTTATGAATTTTTAAACCAAAAATTAAAATTTATCTCCAATCAAGATCAGTGAATTTATGATCTTGAATTACATCAAAGTTGAATAGTTTTCCCTAATATTCGCGCTTTAAAAGACAAACAGTTAGAATTGTTTTTATAACGTAATGATTGTATTACGATTAAATATCTTGAATACGATCTCTGTCTTCAATATTCAAAAACTTTCTACATGCTCAGGAGAAAGTATATTTTAAAATTTGTTATACCTGCTTGTACTAAACTCAAAAGGTCTAATTTCTTCGTCTGTGTTCAAGAGACTATGGGTTAATAAGAATAATTACAGTGTTAAACGCTAGGTGATTAATCTATAACGCATGCAAAGAAGTCTTGGATCTTGTTAAGAATGAGCACCTCAGACGTTACTGGGGTGGGCATTTTTAATTAGGTTAATTGAATGACTAATGCAAACAAATTAGGTATATATAAACATTTATAGGAATTACAATTCAATGTAAAAAATACAATGCAAAACATTAAATCCCAAATGATGAGGATAAACGTAAACATATCTCAGTCAAAGTACAGAGCCGCAATATGATCACATAAAGCTTCAAAGGCATTTTTTGAGAAGCGATCTTGCCTCGTGAATTCTTGAAGATAGAAATGTATTGCTTATGCTTAACAAGGTCATACTGGGGTGCTTATGCTTAACAAGGTCATACTGGGGTGCTTATTCTTAACAAGGTCATACTGGGGTGCTTATGCTTAACAAGGTCATACTGGGGTGCTTATGCTTAACAAGGTCATACTGGGGTGCTTATTCTTAACAAGGTCATACTGGGGTGCTTATTCTTAACAAGGTCATACTGGGGTGCTTATTCTTAACAAGGTCATACTGGGGTGCTTATTCTTAACAGAATCAGATGTCAGATTCACTTCTTGATGTCACTCTGCCCTCTCCATTGCTGTAGCCGTTGCCGACTTTCAAAATTATAGAGCTTTTGGAAAATTGAATCGCGTTCATCTGAAAACTTAGATCAGACCGAGAAGAAATGTCAACTTTTTCAGCCTAAACGCGAGCGTAAAAGAGATCAACATGAAGTTACGTAGAATACATGAAAATGAATGATCAAATAGTTTGTATAAAAATACATTGCGTTTAAATAAATTATGATAACCGCGATATTTTGCCTAAAAACAAGTAAAATGATGAATGTTTTTCTTTACAATTTTTCATAGGTAACTAAATAAAAATTCTTGGGACGGAGATCATGGGAAGTATAGATCATCTCAATTTATTTCCAGTTAACTCATGTGTCATTTTCTAGATAGTAAAAGTTCGTGCTTAGGATGGGTCATTTTAATAACTTTAGTTGTTATTTTAAAAGTTACTTCTGACGGCGACGCGACGCCATGCAATGAATAAAGTCAATAAACTGTGTAGGGATAAAGTTTTCTCAAATTAGCACAAACAATAAAATCTGTGCCGCAGCAGAATAAACCTCATAGTTATATATCATATATTAAGTAAAAAACTGGATTGAACTGAGATAGTGTATTTACGTCAATTCTTTCAAATATATCGACCAAAATAATAGAGGCGACTCGTTAAATAAAATCGCGTTGTTAGTCCCAAAAATTCATACATTTTCTTTTCGAAATCAAGTATTTTAAGGGATACTATCTTATTGTTGACTATGTGGGAATTGTTCATTGTGAAACGTGATAATGTTAATTTGAGCCTTATTATAAGTACTTATATATTCAGTCTGCTCATATCGCAAGTTCACAAGGAATTTAAAGCAAAGAAAATGCCAAGCAAATTCACTATATCGATATTGAAAACGTTTCAGAGTCCTGCTCCATCATCAGTTTGACAATCTAAAAATGAATACAATCATTTTAAAAGTCAAAATTCTAGGACAGACGTAAAACCTAAAAAATATCTAATATTGAATAGAAGAAACAGGACTCGCGGAACACTGAGTCATCGGAGATACGAAAAGAATAAAATTTAAGAAAAAACACTAGCCTAAAAACAAGAATAAAAGCCTAGCGATTCACTATTTCAAGAGGATATGAACCGATTCCTTCCCTATTGCCGTAGCCGACTCCAAAATTTATGAGACTTTCATCAATTCTTCCAAATACACTATAACCCGGTGGAAGTCTATTAGCTATTTCAAACTATCGTCAGTCATGAAAAGATCCGGTCAAATGACACGATTTTAGATCTTCTGTGAACAAGTCACGAAAAGAATCGGCGACAGGTCACATCAGGCCTACACTTCAGCGCCTAGATCACTATCTTAATCTCATTAAATTCAATTAAATATCGAATAATTCTGTAACATCTGCAGAGAAGACAGATTACCTTCTAGATGTCACTCCGCACACTATCGGTTGCTTTAGCCGTTTCCGTCATATTTTAATTTTATCGACTTTATTTGCTCCAGCGTAGAGTCGCGATCTCCTGAACGTATACAAAAAGTATTACGCTTGAATTATTTGGCATATAATCATAACTTGGTCAAATTTGGACGTCAGCGGCACGAAATGATAATATTATTTGCATAAATACAGGCATGAAAGGCATAAACATGCTAAAGTCTGTAATTTAGTGAAGTATTAGTTCTTAAAATACTTTAAAAAGCATATTACGTTTGAAAAAATTAATACAATTAAAATATTCCTCCTAATACTAATCCGTATGACGGAGATACTGAGCTATAAATTTTCATAGCCAACTGAATAAAAATGATCCGGTCATCTAAATTGCGAGATATAAATTTTTCAACACTTATCTAGGTAATCTTATGATAGTTTTGAAATTTTGATTGCTCATTTCCATGATGAAAATCTAAATAATTTTAATTATCATTCAAAAAATTTACGGCTGGGCCGGCTATACTACGTGACGCCATTATTAAAAAGGACTAGATCATGGTCTAATGATGAAGTTTTCTTCCATTAAGACATATACTGGATTTTTTCAGCTGCAGGATTAACTTACAAGAAATATATCATTTATAAGTTATAAATAATCTCTAAAAACTGATGAAAAAATATTGTACCGTTTATGGGTGACACGATGATTAAAATAACATTGTTTATGCTGAAAATTTGGAAAAAAATTTCTCGGTATCATTTAATTTAAGGGATACTGTCTTATTATTAACTGCATATAAATTGTTCATTTTAATTTGGATCAATATAATTATTTAGTGATGATTACTACATGCAATAATGTTGTAAGTGTGAGGGGTATAAAGTGAAGATTGTTCTTATCGAGATGGTATCATCAAAATTGTAATTTTAATACAATATTTTCCTTATACGTGCATTTTCATGACGGATGTTTCTTATCCATCATTCAAACTCTGCAAAAGAATTAAACTTTGACAATAATTATTTTCTTCGCTCTTCGATTTTAACAAAATTTAAAAATCTTGATGCGAAAGTTCAAAATTTTGCTCAAATTTGCAATAATCGAGCCCTAGGTCACAAATTCAACTTTTAAAAAAGATCTTGATCCAGAGCCCAGCCTCAGCTCAATAACTACACTCAGCCTAGGAGCAATAAACTAGTCTGGAACACAATAATCTGGACCAGTGAAGCTCTAGTTAGAGACAATAGCGCCGTGAAGCACTAGTTAGAGATAATAGCGCCGTGGAGCACTAGTTAGAGACAATAGCGCCGTGGAGCACTAGTTAGAGATAATAGCGCCGTGGAGCACTAGTTAGAGATAATAGCGCCGTGGAGCACTAGTTAGAGATAATAGCGCGCGCCGTGGAGCACTAGTTAGAGATAATAGCGCCGTGGAGCACTAGTTAGAGATAATAGCGCCGTGGAGCACTAGTTAGAGATAATAGCGCCGTGAAGCACTAGTTAGAGATAACAGCGCAGTAGGTCTTCAGACAATGCTTAAGAATGCTCGCGTGCTTCAATTTAAAGAACTCTGACGATTTCTATTAATTCAGTAAAATGAGTTCTTGAATTATTTCTGAAGGCGATCAGACATATAAGGTGAAGCGTGAAGATGGTTCTCATCAATTCTGAGCTCTAGAACAGAGGTTGGGTCTGATGAAGTTGTTAATACTTGTCACGAAAGTCTATTCCGCACACTCTTGGATGGCTGTCAATAAAAGCCGGATCTCATTAGTCTACTTTTTATTGTGAGACCTGACGTTCTCTGCAATATAGAGTTACATCAGAAGGCAGAACTTATAGTAGTGTTAAGGTAATTCCTCTGAACGTCAGTTGGAAACGAACACTTTAAGGCACTTGAAGAAACATTTTAAGGCACATAAAGAAACATTTTAAGGCACATAAAGAAATTATTCAGATTTCTACCCAGACAAAAGCAGTCTTATAACATAAAGAACTACCTCGGTATGGTACAACATTAAAATAATATCTTGTTAAAGAAACGTTCCGGTCAGGGCCATACAGTACAAACAGCCTGGTTAAGTTACACAAAGGGAATGTAGAATGTACAATAGCAATTAATTGAAGATTCATAGACACTTAGATTCATTAGCACAATCACGTCGATTGTGCAGTAATCTAGAAAATTAGTATAAAAAACCAACACATCATACCAACTGATGTCGTCAACACGTCGGCGACAGGCCACATCAGGCCTACATTTCAGCGCCGACATCATTATGTCATAAATGGGCAAAAAATTGCTAATAACATTGAGATCCGTCAGGTGAAACTCTAACATTATTCTTGGCACATTTGGCATGAAAATGATGCAAAGTTATCAGAAATATAGACTAACGATATTCATGTTATCGTGAGAGAACTTAACAGCAGAATTCTTATAGAATATCAGGTCACATATGCTAAGTCGTAATACTGCTAGGACAAGTTAGAGCTACTGGCCTCTGGGAGATCCTACCAATTTGCTGCTTTGTTAGAGACGAGTACACAGACTAAAAATAAAAAAAAAACAATTCGCTATGAGTACATGTTCAAGGACGAACAAATAATAAGTCATGATTAATTTACGCACGACATTTGCTTTTCATGCGTGTCACATTGAGTCGTATATCCCGTTTGATTGGGTTTACGACATAGAGTTTACGATTATTTACTACGTGTTATTCCTAGACCACTTAACGATGACCTCCTCAAATCCCTTGTTGTCTTTGTAGTTGTGTTTAACCGCGCGTTCCGCGTCAAGTGGACTCTTGAACGTCACGAAGCCAGACCCGCGGTGACGCTGACGCCTCCGCCTCGGCATCGAGTAATCTTCCAACATATTTACAGCCTCAACCTAAGGGGTTAAGGGCGTTAAGGGGTTAAGGGCAAAGGCATGGGATAAGATTATAGAAACGTAAGTAAAAGGCATGTTATAAGATTATAGAAACGTGAGTAAGAGGCATGTTGTAAGATTATAGAAACGTGAGTAAGAGGCATGTTGTAAGATTATAGAAACGTGAGTAAGAGGCATGTTATAAGATTACCTGGACAGAAGTAATAATAATAATATACCTGAAGACTAATCTGCAAATGATCTCGAAATCAATGGTATCTTTGAGTGGGCTTTAGCCTGAGTGCGTAACTCACATGAGTCGTCTGCCATCGTGCGGCTTCGCTTAACGATCTCGAGGAAGAGCGGCTGCAGACTGGGGTCAGGGAAGTGTCTGCAAAGTGCGAAAACGTTACAATCAATGAGGGCCGTATATTACAAAAATAGTACCAAATGCAGCAACATCTTTACTAGACAAATTTAAGTCCAACCGAAAACATTGCAATGTGCTTAAACACTACAAGCATTGTTTGAAAATGTTCCAACACAATTGATAAGTTCGCAATACTATAATTTTAGACACGACTATAGATTTCTCACCTTTTATTACACGCAAAATCCCGAATCGTAGGTTGCGGAGCAGGCAAGTTGCGGCTTGGATCTTGAGGACATCCTGATTTGTCTCTGCCGTCTTGCCAGGCTCTGTACAAATGAGGCTGGTACCTCTTAACAAATGTGTCCATGCTGAAGCGGACTCCTGCATTGCTGCGAAGACACAAATTCTCTATATAAAAGACAATTTATTCACAAGTTTACATTATTTTATTGGAAAACTATTTTTAACATTATAGAAATTACTAATTTGTCAAGTCACAAAAATTATTAATGACTGCTGCATTTGTTGCATCGTATCTATATTAAGGCGCTAAGCTAAGTTTCAGAACATACCTGCCACAAGAGCACTGCTTGACGTACTTCCCGTACTGGATCCAGCGAGTCGTCGCAAAGTTGGTGGCCTCAGCGATATTAAAGCCATTGTTGAATCCCGAATGGTACCCATACGGAAACGTGATGATAATTTCACCCTGCTCTTGTGTCACCTGGAGACGTGTATAACTTCAATTATAAAGTCTTATTTAGATATCACTATCAAAACACACACTATCACACTTTGCGTGGATCAAAATCTAAAATTTAGGCTTCATTATTGGCTAATTTGGCCTTTAATTATATTGGAACAAACTGACTCTGAAAATGGACATTCCGGAGTCAGGCCTTTACACCGGCTCCTGCCACTCATGGCATGTTCATTTTGTTACTAGCGGAAGAGAGAAAAATTATACAAGATAGAAGCAACATTAAAGCAGAGGCTAGAGGGGTAAAATGTATTAGAATTTGAAGATAAACTGTGGATTTATTAAGCATTCTAGGAAATTGCCACCTAGAGTTCAGGAAACCCACGAGTTTAAATAAAACACAATAAATCCCCCCATGAGTTTAAAATAAAACATAATAAATTCCCCATGAGTTTAAAAGCCATTAGATTAAAATAAACATAATTAATTAACAACAAAAGATTATGACTGACCCGTTATTACTGACAAGAACTGACCTTGTGATACGGAATGCGGCGTTTTTTGAGAATTTCTGGTGACATGATGGTCAAGTTATGACGAAGGTAGCCTGGACAGGCCCTGAAGTACTCTGGGAAATATCGGGTAACCAGTTTTTCAAACTGCCTACCGTATTCGGGGGAAATACCGTACCAGGTCTTGGGAGCCCTCGAGTGCAGTACATTAATGCTGCAACACAGAGAGGAAGCCTCAATGCACGAAATTTGAAATTTACATTTAGGCTTATTGAATAAGCAAAATCTTAACTAATCACAAGTTCAGTGAAAAATCCCCTAAATATACAACCAACACTGGACTTTATTCACAATTAAATAGTTTTGAATTATACCTGGAAAACATTGTTAAGAAATCTTGGAGAACTTTAATTTTAGGCGCAATGAGAGTAAATTATATATTTGCCATGATATCGACAATTCAGCTGCCTTACGCTTAGTATAAAGTAATAGTGGGAATAAAGTATAACTTGCACTACTGACACAAGTAATTGGACTTACACTAACACAAAACAAAAGAGGCAGCAAATATTTTCGGACCTTAGTTAAAACAAGAGTTTGAGGAGCTGCATGGTCATTATACAGCATATGACAAATAATAAATTCAAAGGATAAGGTGAAGAAAACAAAGCAAGGAGGCAAATAATTTTGATTTACCTATACAAGTCCATGTCTTCGGTTTGCCAGGCAAACAAAGACTTATAGGATCCGAAGCACAGGTAGCTCGAATTTATTCCGGGAAGAGTTTGACCATAATCTTCTTTAACGTGGCTTAAAATTGAAGGCAGGGAATTCAAATTCCATACCTGCACAATACATTAAGTTCAATTTCGATGTGGATCTTAAACAACTCATAAGTTGATAACTTTAAATTACCAAGAATTGTGCAGAATTTACAAAAAAAGACACATACCTTCAATTCTGCGTCAGTTAATGTGCCCTCCGCAGCAGCAAGGTAAGTCGGATTGTGACTGGTGATGGAGCTCCAGTAATTCTTCTCCAAATCATCATAAGCCTCGTGGAGAGGTGATTGGTGACTGCTACTCTCAGCCAGCGTCTTAAATTCGTGCGCCGACATTGGTTTCATTATTTTGTTTTTCAGAGTGTAAACACCTTCGCAGCCTTGAACTGTTTGCATAATTGTCTCATGAATCATGAGGCCTTTCAGATCAATGTCGGCCTTCCGTGGTACATATTGTTTTGGTGGTACAATCTGTGAATGACGATAAACACTTGAGTAAAATATGAAGAGCATGAAATTTCTTCTTGTCAACAAAATCTAAGAAGCAAACAAATACTACCTTGAAATAATTTCAATAACTGCAAACAAATACTACATTGAAATAATTTCAATAACTGAGATTTATTTTCAGCTGAAATTTTCACCAAAAGATATCTACTTTAATAACTTCTTTATTATCAATAAGTGTGACCCTAAAATACAACTAAATTATTTGAAAAAGCAATCATCTGTATAGTGATTATAGATCAGCATTAATATCTTGTAAGAATTTTGAATATCAACAAACATTAACCCTTTCACGGGCAAGTTACTATACATGGTCTGTTGAAATTGCCTCACAAAGAGACCTACCACGGCTTCCTCTCTGTGTTTGAGGCTTCCTTATCATGCCTCAGTCAATCACTATTTATCTGTCCATCATTCCATCTTTAGCATCTCCCCCTACCATGCCCAAAATGTAAAATACCATCAACAGGGTAATAAGGGATGGGCGGTTTCCTGTTTGTGTTTGAGGCTTTCTTATCATGCCTCAACTAATTATCCCATACATGGCATCACTTATATTTAATTATTTAAGGTAACTTGATTTAATTGAATTGTATTAAATTGTTATGTTATTAATTTTGTCATCTGAATAAACTTAATTTAATTACAAAGAAAATATTTTGTAAAGTGTCCGCATTTAACAAATTATTAAAGTGCGATTTAAACCTCCAATATGCCAAATTTTTATAAGTACATATAAATAAATATTTTGTATAATACATCTTATATTATTCTACTGGTTTCTAAAATTTCAATTTCTGGATATTTCAATGCTTGCCCTTGAAATGGATAAAATAGACATTTGAAAGATCTTACCTTTGCAAGGCCCATTTTATGAGCACCCTTTTCCTCAATGAATTCCAGAAACTTCTCAAAATCCTTGAATTCTTCCCAAGTGGGGTGAAACACCATGACTTCCCCCGGCGAGCATGATGAAGAGCCGTCATCTGAGTCAATGTCATGGGGTGTGCCAACATTTAAGATAGGGAGGCGCCCCCACCAACCAACTATTTTAAAATTTGGTTCTCTTTTTGGAGCCATCTGTAGGATTCAATTGAATTTGAATATCATATATAATTTGAATATTGAATATTGCTATATTTATTACCAACATCATCCTTGGCAGTAATCATAGAAGTATACTTAGCATTATAATTGTAACCCTTTCACAGGCAAGTTATCATATATGGTCATATGGTCACTTGAAATCGCCTCACTAAGAGACCCATTATGGCTTCCTGTTTGTTTGAGGCTTCATTATCAAGCCCCAGTCAATTATTAGTTATCTGACTATCGTTCCATCCATAGCATTATCATTTACCATGCCCAAGAATTAAAATGGGCATGAAAGTTTTGACTCAGACAATGAAATTGATGCTATTTCAAAATTTTTTTAAAGGCAGAATTATCAATATACCATCAAACGGGGTAATAAGGGATGGGTGGGGTAAATCGGGACAGTCTGTGGGGTAATGTGGGACAGTCATCCCACATTTTGTAGAAATGTTGTAGCAGCTTAGCTAATCAAAATATTGCAAAACTAAAAATAGTGGCATAAAGTTCCAACATTTTTATTATCTGCATAGCATAAAGTAAGTTAAAAAATCATACCTACATTTAATACTTCTGAAAATCCTTAAAAAAATGTGTGAAAAGCAAGATTACTGGTATATAGAAAAAAATTCCATGACATTTCCATGACCATCAGTATAATTTTCATAGACTTGTATACAACAGGTTTATCACGACTGAAAGACTAACCGTGCATATTCTACCATCTCCTTCAGTTGATAAATAGCAAACGTGTAAATGCATAGAGCAGACAGACACAGAGGAACAAAAATGACACAAATCTGAAAATCTAGCCCACACTGGTATTATATGAATTCAATATTGTAAAATTACAACAAATATTGAGTAATGCACACAAGATTGTATGTGATAATGTCAACACAATTCAGAACACTCTTCAACACCACTACCCTAACATTAAATTTTCAAATTCCCATTTCTCTCCATTGCTTCTGCATATTCATCTGCTGCTTGCTCAAGCGCGTTGATGCCCTTCTTCGTACACCTTTTCTTCTTCTTCAGTTCATTTAGCTCATATGCTCTTTGACAGAATGACAAGCTAAAAAAATGTCCCAGTCAATCAGAAGTTGAAAATGCTTGAAACTATGCGCTCAGTTCACTGCAATGTTGTGATTCATCTCTAAAGTTGCACATCTCATCACACAACACCATCCACACCTGTGTTAGGGAATCTCTTGGCATCAACAAGCAAAGTGAGACAGTTCTTCAACTGTGTCTCGTTGGCTTCCTCACAATCCTTCTTGATGAAGACTTTTGGCACCAGCCATCTCATGTTCCTACCAAGGCTATACCTGATCCTGATAGGGCTCTTGTCCAGGTAGCATCTCAGGCAGTGACCTGCAATTTTTTTCAAATAGTTTGCAAAGGCTATTTGTGAGTGCTATGGGGCAGTTTGAGGATGGATTTGCAGGTGGTTTGTTGGGCATTAGGAAGGACAGGATGTGAGCCAAGTGCCATTGATGGAGGACTCCTGTTGACCAGATGTAGTTGTAGAAAGCTAGTAATCGTGTTTGTTGCATGTGTGGTAGGTGCATCAAGAATGAGGGTGGTATTGTGTCAGGGCCTGGTGCTGATGGGCATGTAGTGTTTATTGCTCTAATTAGGTCGATTACAGTGAAGTTGCTGTTAAAACCAAGAAGTGAAGTTTACTACTGAGGGCATATTTTGGGTTTTATGGAGTTTTGTGATTTGTGGGGATGGGCTGGGTGGTCCAGTAAGTTCTCTAGCCAGTGCATTTGCTACCTCTACTGGGTTTGTAAGGAGTCTATTCCCAACATCTAGGATGATGGTTGTTTGTGGTGGTGCCTCTCTGAGTTGACAAATTTTATTCCAAATTTTGGTTCTAGTTGATATATAGGTCAATGATTCAACAAATAATGTCCAACTTTTCTGTTTAGCCAGAAGAACTGTGCGTCAAAACATTGCAGCTGCACGCCTGTAGTTCATCCATAAGTGGATGGTGCCTAGCTTCTGACTGTATAGTACTAGGGCCTTTCTTTTGGTTCTGAGTGTAGCAGTGCACTCTGGAGTTCACCAACAGTGGGTTTGCATTTGTTTTCTGGGGTTAGTAGAGATGGGGACTGCCAGTGCACCCGCTGTCACGAAGCGGCTCTCCACTGCACTGCATGTCTCAGAAGGGGAAAGGAATGTTTGCATGATGTCTACATGTTTTTGGTAGGCAGCTCAGTCAGCTTTGTTTAGGATCCATCTGGGCCTTGAGGGAAGGGGTATGTTTATATTATTTATGGTTATATTGAGGAGGAAGAGGTCACTGTGGTATGGATCAGGAGCTGGTTCCCATGTTAAAGAGGGAGCCAGGTTGTCTAGTTATGGTGAGGTCAATGTGTGTGAGTGTACCTGTTGGGCTTATGTGATAGGGTGCTGTGTTTGCCAGTATGATGTTATTTGTGTGAAGCCACTATGCTATGAGCCGGGCATGCTGGTCTGAGTAGGAAGATCCCCAGGATTTGTGGTGGGCATTTGCATCGATGCAGATGATGTAAGGTGTGGTGAGCAATTGTAGTATGTCTGTCAGTTTAGTGAGGAGAGTTTTGTTGTCTGTACAAGGGGGGGACTTATAGTAAGCATATGGCAAGTTTGAAGGAAGGGAGGTATATGTGTGTGGTACACTGGTACAGGCTTCAGTGAGTGTGGGCAGAGTTATGGTTTTTGTTGGGCACTGGCGGGCACTGTGCAAGTGTAAGTGGGTGTGTGGGTGGTACATTTGTTTCCTGCATGCATAGTATATCTGGTGCGTGGTTGTCTAGTGCTGTTTGGATGTGGGATGTTTGATCTAAAGATGTGGATATTCCATTGTAGGAGTGAGTCATTACGAATGTGTTAGGGAGGTGAGGCCTAATTCTGTAAGCAGTGAGGTGATAGTTGATTCAATTTGTAATTTTGATCCTAGTTCAATAAAGCATTCTATTTTGGCACTTAAAGAGGTTGCAAGTAGAAGTTCCAGTATTATTGGGAGCAAAGATAGGAACCAAGCTGGGGAGGGGGTTGTGTTGCTGGAGTTTGCAGGGGGGCTTGTGCATGGTCATGGAGAGTTCTGGTGTTTTTGAGGACTTATTTGTGGTGGTGACAGAGGTGGTAATAGGGGCAGAGAGGATTCTTGTTCTTCCATGTCATCCAGCTCCTGCTGCATCATGGGAGAGTGGTCTGGGCAGCTACTTACTAGAGGGGGAAGCTGTCCAGCTGGAAACCTGTAGTTGGAATTTTGGGTTGTGCAAATGGTACTCTGTTGAAAATTTTTGTTTATGTGTAGAGGTATGTAGTGTTTTTACCCATCAGAGTATTGCTATTCCTCTTTTGTGGACAGGTTAGGGGAGGGAAGGTGGCTTGTGAGCAGAGTGTTGGTGGTAGTGTCTGAGGTGGTTGGGTCTGTCTGGTTGCATGGGTTTGAAGTCTTCTGTTGCTAGAGTTGTCATTGCCATTAGTTTGCTGGGCTGGCAGGGTTTCTTCCTGGCTTTTGGGTAGGAGACTTGGTGGTTTACAGAGCAATGACAAATAAGGCACATAGGGCAACTTTTATCAAAGGCATCATGGTTCCCTTTACAGTTAACACATCATGGGGGCTCTTGGCAGGTTAGTCTACTATCTCCATTTGTCCCCCAATGACTGCAGAGTTGTGGACTACGACAGTAGGTTGAAGAGTGTCCCCACCTGCAACACTTGTAGCATTGGATAGGATTTGGATAATATGGATCCACTTTGTAGCTGCTATATCCAATCCAAATGTTTTCAGGTCATTGCTTTTCTAAAAAGGTCAGCACGAATAATGGCATATGGGATTTTGCTGGGTCACGGAAGAGCTTTCCAACAGCTGTGACTCCCGAGGGTCTGAGTAGTTCCAATAAATCTTCAATTTTTTTTGAAGTTCTGGTGCATAGATTTTTCCAAGGGTATTTTGAGAGTTCAGCGCTATAGTGATTTGGATAGGGAGCAAGATCCAAATCACTATAGCGCTGAATATGGCAAGAAGTCTCACTGCAAGTAGTGTATTCACAGAGCTGGGCAGCGCTAGGTACTTAGAAATGTAGCGGCCACTACCGCTACTGCTACATGCTCTAGATGCGCTACTGCTACACCCACTAGATTGTAGTGGGCGCTACCACTACTGCTACAGTAAAATGTAGCGCCGCTACATTAGCCGCTACAATGGCCAAAATTAATGGAAATCTCAAAATATTTATTGTTCTGTTATTGGGATTTATTGTTCTGTTATTGGGATTTATATTTAATGATAATAAAACATTTTCAAAACATATCAATGCAACTTTATTGCAATTAGCCTAACCAAACTAGTATGGGTTAGATACAGTAAATAAAAGTTACAGTTATTTTTAGGTCTAGCTTTCCCTACATGGATGCCTACTATAATCTACCAATCTCAAAAATTATCCACAGATACATATAAAAAATCAGTCTTTTATTCGTATATATATATGGATAATTTTTGAGATTGGTAGATTAAAGTAGACATCCATGTAGGGAAGGTGAAACATAAAAATAACTGTGTAAAAATAACTTTAAAAAACTGAAACGTAAAAGAATACCTGTAAAATTTACTCGCCAGTTGCATGTCAAGTGAAATATAAAAGTACCTGTAACATTTACCTGCAAGTAAACTGAAACATAACAATACCTGTAACAATTACTCACAAGTCGTAAGCAAATTGAAATATAAAAATAAGTTTACTATTAAGTAAAATCTAAGGGCTTTATCTATAAATGTAGCGGTAGCTCTGTAGCGGCAAAACCTCGTATTGCTACTTGAATATGTAGTTTCCACTACATGTACCATAAAATGGGGTAACTTAGACCACTTTTTTTTATAAATGATGCCATTTTTTTACTAGCTAAATTAAACTTGAATTGAAACGTGCAAAATACAGGTCTATACTCTAGCTTCACTCACCATAAATTGCTGGCTCTTGCCTCTC